GGTATGATTTTACTGTTAAACACATCAAAGGAGAAAAAAATGTTGTCCCTGACCTCTTATCCAGACCAAAAAAGCCTATTGCCATTGTTACCTCCTTAAACACATATCCATTAATTTTCCCCCTCAACACTGTTGAAGCTAGTTCTAGCTTTAATCACAATCCTCTTCCTCCATTTCCTCCTGACATGAGAAATGATGGGGCCATTACAGTGGAATATATAAAAGATTTTGCCAAAACTCATATGTTTCATTACTTGGCTCTTTCCCTCCATAACCGTAATGTTAAACCTCAACCTACCTGGTTTCAACCTGATGCACCATACTTAAACATCTTTGCTTTATTAATGGATTACCCCTTAATAGAAGAAGATGTATGGTATCTTTGGTGTGCTACTCTTTTATTCTATTATCCCATAGTTTTTCCTACATACAATATGTTTGAGTTCCTCAGTGACCCTCGAAATTAGTCAACATTGGTATGGAAATTTTTATCCTGGTACCAACCTATTCCAGATTGGATGAAAGATGTTCAAACTGAAATGGAAAGACTCAGCATATGGAAAGAAATTGATCTGCCTCCAACAGAAACTCCAAAACATGTGACGGTGGTAATCATTCATAGACCTTATTTTGAACATCCTGTTACAAAATTACTTTATTCTCAGAATCAGGTCAGAGTTTGGAATACTTATCCCAATCTCAAAGAAATATCTCAACCAGACAGACCACCTTTTAATCAGGCAGACTTAAATATTCATCTTCATGTTGAAAATGGAGCTCAAGAAGAAATGCTTAAAGTAAAATCTACATGCTCCAAATTGAAGGCGATGGACATAATTTGCCCTTCTGATAATGACAATCCATCTATCTGGAATAAAATTCAACAGATAAATCCACCAGTAACCTGTTCCAGTGTTACTTTTGGCAATTGGGAAACAGCAAGTCATGTAATAATCAAAGATGAAGGGTCTTCACATAATGATACATTCATGGATTCACAAGATCCAGATGATTCTCTTAGCTACAGCTCAAGTACTGATCCCAATCTGTCACCAAGTCACGAGCCTATCTGCAAGGACTGAAGAATCTCTGATAAATAACCTTTATGTAATAAAGTATCTTTAGATATTTTGTTTTTTGTGTGATTCAGATGTACTTAAAGTTTTAAGCTTTTATATGCTTTAAAAAAGCCACTTTGTAAAAGGTTTGGAATCTTATCCAACCTTATCGTGTGTAATTATTAGGTTTGCTGTCCATCCTCTATATAAGGAGGAGCTCTTGGGTTTGCTCAAAGTATTAGAAAGTGCTGATAGTTTCTTTTTGGGTTATGATATAAGAGGCTCCCGGCCAGTAAATCTTGCAAAATTAAGGAACACTAAAGACCGAAGTCAACAACCTTGGCCACTAATTTTCATCAAACAATGCATCGCCTGATTTAATGCTAACCAATGAACAGGTTGTGCAGATATCCTACTGCACTAATGCATATTTCAAGAGGCTGCTTTAAGGACTAATTTTTTTTTTTTTAATTTAAAGAACTAAATTAATAGATATTTATAATTTCAAAATTATTGATTTCAAAATTCTGAAAACCAAAACGATCAATTTCTAATAATTTTAACTTTTTTTATAATTTTAAAAATTAGATTAGCAAATGACTAAAATTACGCATTATTTTTTAATTTTGTGAATAAAAAAATTACACTTAAAAGGCTTTGCCTTTTAAATATACTTAATTCAACTAGAGCTCAAAATAGGTTAAAATTCGAGTCCAACCCTATTAGTCCCTTATATAAATCTGTGTTTTTTAAAGTCAATAATTAATGAGTTTATATTAACCCTAAGTCCTAAAATAAAGAAAATAATAGACTAAAATTAGGATTAAAAGTGAGTTAACTCACTTATTTTACAAAGTAAGTAATAACTATTATATATTTTTTATAATATTTATTAAATTATTTTATTTAAATAAATTAAAAATTACATTTAAAATATAAAAAATATTCATTTAATACATTAAAATTCTATCATAAAATAATATCAAATATAATTATATTATAAAATTAAATTAAATTTAACTTTTACATTTGTTTAATTTTATTAATTAAATTTAACTTACATGGAAGTAAAGAGGAGTTATGTCAACCTATTTTACATCAATTATTGAGAAAATTGCTATATTTTGACGTGATTAAACGACAATCACTTCCATTTGTAAAAGAAAAACGTGTTATTAACTACTAGTAATTATTATAAAAATTATATTAATAAAAAAGAATTATTAAAATAAAACTAGAGTACCTTTTTTTTTAATAACATCTGTTTATCTTTCGTAAAAAATAATCATAGTTTACGATGATTATTAAAAGTAGTAATTTCTTTAGAAAAAATTGAAATTAAAACTAATTTTAAAAAATATAAAAATATATAAAGATAAAACTATATATCTTAAACTTTTTTATTAGTTTATTATAAAAAAATCCACTATTTTAATTTTTTATTAATTAATTTTATATTTAAATTTTTAATTTATTTAATTTTACATCCTTTAAATTTAAACAATTAAATTAAAAAATTTTAATAATTAAAATCAATTTTAGTAAAATGATATTTCAAAAACTTATTTTAGAATCTTTTATTAATTTTTTAAAAGTATATTTATCTACAAACATAAAATAATAAAATTATATAATCATTATTTTATAGTATTTGTTCTTTTAGACAAAAGATATCTATTATTTTACAATTCTCAATTATAAAGGATATTAATTAAAAAATAGTTTTTCATATGCATAATTAAAAATACATGATAAAATTTATATTTAATATTTTTATATAATTTTAAAATATTATACAATTTAATAAATTGATAATATTATATATTCTACTTTTAATAAAAAAATTATTTATTAATTTTTTTATCGTACAATCTTCAATAAATATTAATAAATTAAAACATTAAAAGTATTTATTAAAATTGTGTTAGAAAAATTTAAATTACCAGATATATATATATATATATATGTGTGTGTGTGTGAGAGAGAGAGAGAGAGAGAGAGAGAGAGAGAGAGAGATAAATGATAACAAATGACTTTTACACCTTTAAAATACCAGTTAAAGAATAAAAAATAAAAAATTGTGTTGAAAGAATATTATTTATATATTTTCTTCTTTAATATTTTATCGTATTGCAATGTCACTTTTAATAAAAAATAATAATTTTAATTAATATAAAAACACTTAAATGTAAGAATTTTTTTATCATATTTTAATTTTTTAATAATTAATACTTATTTGGTAAATAATATTTAATAAATAACATATTAATTAAGCAAATCATCCTCTACCTTTAAGAAAAATTTCAATTTTATCCTCTAATTTAATTTAATTATTTTTCTCCTTTAAATTTTATAAATGCTTTAAATAAGTCATTTTATGTTCCATTTTGCTGTGATTGCACTAATGATTAATAATTAATTATAAAATTAAATTTGAGTTAAAAATTTAAAATTGTTGAAATTTTTTAATCCTTGAAGCTCTAACCCTAACCCTATCCAGTGACTTTTTTTGTCTATAGAACTTTTGATTTATAGTACTTTTTGGCCCTAACCTACATGGACTAAAGTTAGAACTGGACCAATTGAACTTTTTGACATTTCTAAATTCAACTTATTTGTTAAAACCCAGTGACTTAATTATCAAACAATCAAACGTTTGGGATAAAAGAAATATTAACCGCATATTTTATATGTAATATTATGAATGATAATTATTTACTTCTTTGTATTAAATAAAGTTAATGTTTGACAATAGTATTTGTTCATTTAAAGAAATTTAATTATATAAATAAAACGAATGCTAACTAATAACCTTAGAGCATTAATTAAAAAACTAAAAGTAAAAAAAAGTGTTAAAAAATATAATAAATACACATTCTTCCATATTTTTTAATACAATCTAACATAAAATCCCAATAAAATTTTAATATATTTAATTTCTTAACTAATGCCTTAAAAGTACTAATTAGCGAGATTTTATAAATAAAAGTTTGCAACACTACGCACCACTAAAGACCGAAGTCAACAACCTTGGCCACTATTTTTCATCAAGCAATGCATTGCCTGATTTAATGCTAACCAATGAACACGTTGTGCAGATATCGTTATGCACTAATGCATATTTCAGGAGGCTGCTTCCAAGACAGGTGAGAGTTGAGTGGAACCATACAAACACTACTTCCTATGACTTTTTCCCATTATGCTAGTAGAAAAGTATCATTTCTGACCGAATTCAAAATTCAACTAGTGAAACAAAGTGGTGATGGCAAAATTTTGACAAAATTGCTATTTCAGTCTGGAATTTAGGAAGGCCCCGTCTGAACCCTATATCTCTCTAGAAAGCAACCCTCACATTTTTTTAGCACTTCATTGTAGACCATGCCAAACCCACCAGCCCTATAATCAGATTTCCTATATACAATGTACCCTACTACCCATTGATATACACATCATCAAAGTAGAGCAAGTTGAGAGCAAGACTAACAATGTCATAGAAATGCAACTCAACCAAGTGTGGTACACCACCAGGAGCCAAGTGTGTGCTTACTGCAGGCTTTTAGTTGCATCCTTAAAGACCAGAAATCCTTATCAGGAATCCAAATCCTCTAAAGGGTGTCAGTGAAAATAGTTATATTTTCAAACCTCCAACATTAACATACTGTTTGGTTGGAAGGAAGTGGAGGGGAAGGGAGGGATTTTTTAAATTTCTCATGATTGGTTCAATATTTTGGAAAGAAGAGGGGGAAAGAAGACAAAATCCCTCCTCGCTCAACTAATCGGACAAAATTATCCTTAATATGTATATTTAACCATTCTAAGTAAATAATAATAAATTCATTTATTTCACCTATCCTCCCCTTGTGAATCAAATGAACGAGGTATCTCTTCCCTACATTAAAATTCCTCCCCTCCCTTCCTTTGAACCACACAGTGTGTAATGCTATGAATAGTTTCTAAAACTTGAGATGAACGGGGTCCCTCTTTCTTTATCATTAACATAATTGACGACTTGCATGTTTTTCATTTTGTAGAGTTTGGATTTTCCATGTTGACTTTCAGTTTTAGCCTTTAGGAGGTGACGAGGTTGCACAAGCCTTAGATGAATTGCATGGCTGAAATTCTCTTGACTGCAAAGTTCTACACCATTTATTGACATTGTTGAAGTTCTACATTGACTACAAATATAGCTAAAGTAGAACTTAGAAAGACTAAAGCAATCCTCACCTTACCTGCTAGCTTTTGGATTGAGTTATGCCTTAGTCAAAATTAAGAGAGTGTCGGAGTCTATTGTAGATCCAAAATTAGGTCACCCTTGACTAAACAAAGTAAACAAAAATAAAAATCCAGCCCCACTGATTTTTTCAATGTAATTAACCTGGCCCTTTAGATTTCTCAGCACAACCTGCCTGATCTCGGGCTTTTCCAATGCAGTTCCTACCTGCTGGACCCATGGCATTCCCAATGCAATATTAAAAAAAAATTAATTACAATTTTCACGCTTCAAATGTCTAATCCTCACCTTATGAGCTAGTTTTTAGGGTTGAATTAAGTCCTAGTCCAAATTTAAGAGATAGCATCCAATCTGAATCCCAAATCTTGAAGATACAACCAATATTTTATATAAAAGTAAATAGGAGGCAAGTTTGCACAGATGCAAATACAAATTGTTAGACAATTGACATATGAATATAATTCTGCTTGAAATGATAAGAGCTATAATAACCAGTGCCCCAAGTAAATACATGAATTAAGTCAATACATCACACAGTAGTATAAAATGGAAATCTAGTTCCCTAATGACATTTGAAATTAAGCAAAACCAACTATAGACAGCATTAACCATTGCTAGGATACATGTACAAGCTGTACACAGTTTTAGACTGAAAAGGAAAGAGCATCGTAAAAAATTTCATCAGATCTTTAGTGAGAAATAAAATTGTTTTCTTTACAAGCATAGATATATTATGAAAAAATTTGTTAACTACTAAATGTAGAGTTAAAATACTCACATAATGCAGGGCTAAGTCTGGTGCAACAGCTCTTCCATGGATTCAAATTCTTTAAGATTATTAACTACATGATGAACTTTCGTAGAAAGCTTATTACTGTGCTCTTCAACAATTTTCATAAAAAAAGTCAACTGTTCCTGATATGTTGCGCATAATCGTTTTTTATTCCGAAGCTCTGCTGTTAATTCTTGAATTTTCTTATCCTTCTCATCCTAAAACAAAAAAGCAATGTTAGCAAACACTTCACCTTGCTTTAAGGAACCAGATATGTCATATAAAATGCCCCAAAACATACAATTTTCTTCACATAAAATGGAAAGTTATACTACTTGCACATAAGCCTTAAAACTAAAAGACAGCAAAGATTTGCCAACACATTGTACTGGTACAGAAGCATTTTAAACTATTGTGGTTGTTGCGGTTAATAACCTTTTTAATTATATCAACTGTTCTCCTTTTTGTGGAAATTACATAGGGATAGGTAGGCCAGTATGAAATTGAGAAAAAAAAGTAATGAGCCTGATAAAAACATAAGACATGTACGTTAGGTTAGATAACCATTTAGTTTAAACAGCAAGGTGTCAGACATAAAACCGTTTGTCTTACAAAGCAGTTGAAATCATGATTTTACTTTGAATCATAAAGGGAGGTGAAAATCATAAATCGAATCATAAGATTTTACAAAATTCATATACATGCTAGCATAAATTAAATTAAATCATTAAAAACAATAAATAGACTAGCAGTCATAAATCATAACCCATATTCCATAAGAATGTCATGCCTAAGCCACTAAGTGTCAAACTCATAGGCCAAATATAGAGCAGAACAGAAAAGATGCAAGGACAACAAGAACAACAGCACTAGACTCAAACTCAGCAGTATCACACTGCTAGGTTAGTTGCAGAACAGGTTGCACACACAGTGGGATGAAAGTTGACTATGGTCATAGGGGGTTCAAAGCTGCTAGAGGCAAATTGGGATCAATCAAAAAGAGATAAGAAAGCGGCATCAACTACATTAGGGTTCAGCAAAAGAGGATTTTTTTAGGGATTTTCAGAATTGAAATGAAATTGTGAAATCCATGATTTGATAGATTTTCCAATCCAAATCGGATTTTACAATGATTTTACCCATGATTTAAATTGGTAAGGCTTCCAAAATTGTAAAATCAGGGGATTTTATTATTCAAATCAGGATTTTAACTACCATCATCTTACCTAATGGCTCAACAATTAGGATAATTGAGTCATGACATATTATCAGAACCTCTATGACCACAAGTCAAGAATTGTAGAATCCCATCTGTGTAGCCCTCACTCTTCTAAATTATAAATTGTTAAATTTCAGTACAAGGTTAGGGGTATCCATTATCTACACTTCAATCCCACAGGGCTCTTGCGAGAGATAGCATAATAAATACAAAATCATTTAAGTGTCTTCACCACATAGCTTAATCTTTCACAGTAGTTGATTCATGACAAGAAGGCCAAAACAAGCAGGATTCAGGCTATATCTTATTGCATTGTTTGATGCAAACATACAAAATGAAATAAAAAGACCTACACATGGTATTCAATCCAAAATAAGCCTACAATAAAAAATAAAAAAAAAGTCTTGCCGAAGCTCTTGATAAAAAAGGTGTCTGTATCACATATATTTGACCTAGGAGGGATAGGTATGTGGAGAAATGAAGGTTTTTCATAAATAGGTACATGCGAAGGGTTGACTCAGTTAATACCTTTCTACATTTATACTGGACATACCTATTCGACACATCCTAAATTTTTGTGCCTCAATGATCCTAAATTTTGTGCCCCAATGAATGCTTTATATAAAAAAGATATGGTCATTGTTGATGAATATAACAGAGTAATCTCTAACTAGAGTTCCGTAGAGAAGCTTCTGGAATCAAAAACTTATATGTGTTGTAGGAATAAGACAGAAGATAGATTCAAGGCGTGATATCATACAAGTATTAACTCAGTTTCCACAAACCAACGTTGGCATTTAAATCTTTCACCATTGGAAAACCAAGGCACGATACAACGTCTACCAACCAGAAAAATATACTGAATTAAGAAAGGAACACTGCAGAAGACTAATTGAAGTGTACTATGTTTGTCAAATACTCCAGTATTCAGTTAGATAAGAAATATGAAACTACCATTGTTTGGCGTGCTTCTCGTGGAGAGACTACCAGTGGATGATTATGATCCTTCACAAATTTTGTTATCACCCATTTTGCAGACTTATCATATTTGATATGAATCATTGCTTTACAACCTTCCCTTGTGCTGGCCCTTGGTTTTCGAACTGACCCAAATTTCCCTCGAATGCTGATACAATGACCCTCCTTATTACATCCAAGCCTGCGGGCAAGAATCCTACCATCTTTTTCTGAGCGTCGACAAGACATAACACGCATGACAAATCCTACACGCCGGGCATATTCATCATAAAATATCTTCGCAGCATCTTCAGAATCAAATTCCATGCCTTCATATGGTTCCTGAATAGCATGATCATCACAGATACCCAACTCTCCCCCTGAAGAACTCTCTAGTGCTCTACACCCCTCATTTGGATCCACTGTCACAAAAATAAATCTTCTGAACCCATCAAAATGTTTCCTTGTAATGAGAATTAATAATACAGGAGATAACATTTGTGTCATTTGCTAATAATGATATATGGAGAAAGTACTTTAAATTCAAAGAGTGCAGTCATTCAACTGCAGAGAAACAAAGAAATCAAGAATTCTATATATAACTAGAAGGTCTAAATGTTAAATGTCATTTGAGATTTGACATTTTGATTCATTTCTCCCTATGTAGAACCTTTACCTAACATATGTACAAACATGCATAGAGTCAGAGACAGGCATAAATCTTATTCTGGTTCTTTTCTTAGCTCCGCCCCCTGCCCCCTCCCCACATCAAGAAAAAGAGAAAAACAATAAAGATGAGCAGTGGAAGGATGCCATCCCAAAAATTACTGCAACTCATGTGAATCCCTGGAAATGTATCTCTCAACAATACACTTCTTTGAGATAGACTACTGGTTTCTTTGGATTTGGGTCATGATTCTTGTATGAGGTTTTAAAAGAACATTCAGTCAGGGAATATTTCTTTATTGGAAGCTTTTCCCCATCTCTATCATATGTTCCATCATAAAATTCTCCACTAAAAAAATAACATCTACTTAGGGCTCTAATTCCCCTCAGAATTTCCATTGATTAAGGATCTAAATGATAGAAAAATTCATGTTTCTAATCATACTTCCAGTTTTCACAATACAAGTGAAGAGTTTGGTCTAGATTCTTTCACCCTATTTTCTGTTCTTATTCATTCTAATCATGAGTTTTTTCGTAAAGCACCTTTTAGGTAATCTGTAAATACCAAAGACATGTTAATACTTTGCAGACCTTAGTCAGATATTTCCTGATATATATGTGAAAGTGTAATGTTGGCTCGGAAATGTCTACCAATACAATTTTGATTTTAAGGCCATTGCTATCTCAAGGAACAATCTGTTTTGGTATGCTAGGAGGATCCAGGGTGTGTCCTACCACCCTTAAGCACTATCTCATGACTTTCTTTACAGAAAAAAAGCAGAGGTCAATACTTTATGTTAATCTGCAATTTGTATTATTTGCTGGAGTAGATGACTAGAGCATAAATTGAATATTTACATCCTCAAGGGCATGGCATTGTGCTACCTTTTACACAATTTATGGGAAAGAATTGTTTATTCCCTCTCTTTGATGTTATGTCCATGGCTTATTTTGGCTGGTTCCTTGTCTTATATGCATAAAAATTGAACAGCATATTGCATTACGAGTTATTAAGCTCTGTGTTTTTCATAATTTTCTTGTTTAAGGAGGATATAGGCAAAACAAGCACATAAAATGTTTCATTGGTGGAGCTTGGGAAGCAACAACAAAATTTACAACATTTGGGAGGGGCTGCGTGTTGTAGGAATAAGCTATGAATATTGAATAAATATTTAACCATATCAAATTCAGGCATATTGTAAAGATATAAACTATGTCCACCACAACAGAAAATTAAGTAGCATGCAACAAACTGTAAATTAGATTTGTAACTCCATCCCCACTACTGTTAAGTGGGCTTTAAGATTGGTGACTGCCGATACAAACTCTCTTTGATTCCCATGTATCAATGGGCTTTCCACACATGTGATACTGTTTGTACTTTGTAGCATAGTTTTTAGACTTCTTCGATTTTATGTAACAATATTTGAATGCTGAGAAGTGGAACTATGTTTGAGGAGTACCATGAACAAGTAGAATGAACCCTAGTTAAATCACTAGTGTTAAGACATCCCAGGGCAATGCAATAAACACAGCATGCAGGGCTTTAAACATTAAAACATGCATCATATTTTATTCATTCAAAATTAAACAAATTAAATAGCATACCTTCATATGTTTCTTGGTGTATCTGAACTTCATACGTACTCAAACTAACATCCCCAGAAACTTCCATCTCGCCATTTCCCTCAATTAATCGGGATTCCATGTAGCATAACAAAGTATGGTATCATCAAACCACAAAAATAGATGTAGACTTGCTATATAGAACCTGTCCAGATTTAACAGATTGTTATAATGAATAAGCTCATAATTTTGTTTTAAATATAAGAATAAATTTTATACAAGAAAATATGAAAGTGATAATGACCATATTCAAATCAGAAGTGATTTAGGCCCTCTTATTTTAAATGGCGTGCATTAAGAAAATTATGATGCAACTCAAATTAATCAGGTACATTTTCCGGTAGAACAAAAATATTATTATTACCACTTATGAGAATCTGAGATAGTCCTGATGCATCCAGAAAATGAAGGACAAAACAGTATATGATTTTGTCTCCTAGTGTTTCTAAAGTCTTCAAATGAAAATCCAGGTTGCTAAGTAGTGCAGCATTATTTACATGCGCAATATGGAATTTGCCAATGAAAATTTAATCGAGCACAGGAGCGACAGTAAAGAAGAGGAGTAAAGAGAAAACAATGAGAATGGGAGCATCTTTTTCAGAAACCATCTTTGCCACATCACAACCATTTTAAATACAATTCTAAAGTATCAACATGTTCCCTAAACCACGTTGACACCACCTGTTGTTATATTACAAGGACTATCAATGTACAGAAAGCTTCCACAAAGTAAAGATTTTCATTTGGCGACCAATGTAGTTTAGCTTACTGTAAATCATAAATTGGTTTTCAGAGTGAAGATTTTCATTTCAGCATACAACTTAGTTTAGTTTAGCAAGCAATTATTTCTCTAAACTAATCAGCCAGCAAACATGTCTAAAAAAAATATCCAAAGATATTCTGACTCATAAATCATAAATGGGTTCCAGTTGGTTAATCTATTCATCACCCGAATTCTTACTCCATTCCACAAAACCTAAAATAAGAAATGCAGAGTGCAAAACTCCTTGATTAACTCGAACCTTTCCATAGCTACCCCAGAAAACAAATATCATATAATTAGTTAACCAATTACGTGGACAAGTCATGTCTCGAAATCGAAACCCAAAAAAGGGTCAAATTCATCACGAAAATATCAAAGAAAAGAGAGTAAAATATTTGAAAAGAACAAGAAATATCGTATTTATAAGGAGAAAATTGAATGATGAAAATTGAAGAACATTTTCACGTAGTAACAAACCAGTGTGTGGTCCTCCCTGCCGTTTGAGTGCTGTGTTTGTAATTGTCTCGACTTCAATGCCCTAAAAACGTGCACTCTTTAGCGTTTACTCTTTTTCATAAAACCTGATTCGCACGTGAACCATTTTCCGCAATGCTTGTTTCAGTCTTGCGGTAGAATGCGTTAAAGCACGCATTAGATCTTGAAATTTAAACTTAATAATTTTTCACATAACACAAAACCAATTTAATTATTAAATTATTTTATATTATTTTTATTATTATATATATTAAATTTTATATAACTATAATATTTATAAATATATTATTTAAAACTTAACATTTATTTATATTATAAAAATATATTATTTATTAAGAGTTTACTCCCCTTAAAATTATCATTTTTATTATAATCATATTCCTTTACTTCTTTTACATTTTTATATATTTTTTAAACGTTTTGTTAATAAAATAGTAGATAAATTTAAGTTATTTTTTAGGATAAGTTAATTTGTTAAGCATTATTAATCAGGACTTATATATTTAAAAAATATCATTGTAATATTACTAATATTAATACATGCATAGAATATTTTAGCATTTATAATTATATATGCACTTTTCTAATATTGTTGCTTTAGCAAGTATTTATTTATTTACTTTTAGTGTACTGAATAAATTATTTATGGATAAATTGTTATTTATATATTTTAGAGTTTATAGAAAGGATGGTAATGGATAAAGAAATCAATGAACAGTTTAAAATAAGAATGATAAAAGGTAAAAGAATCAATATACATACGCAAAATTTAGCCACAACATCTGCTAAAATATTCACAAATTTTAATAGGGATAGGTGCGGTATGAGTATCATATATATATATATAAAAACATATTATAAATATTTTATATATTTTATAATTATCTATTATTACTGTAAGTTTATTATTTATTAATATTAAAATTTTATTTTTATATTTTAATTTAAAATAATATTTTTTTATTCAACATGTACATTACAAGTATAACTATAATCTATTAAATCTAACTAATATTATTCTTACCATATATTTACGTTCAAATAAGTTTTTGAAAAAATATATAATATAAAAAATATTATCAATTCTTATTTGTTAATTTTTTTGAATAGAAAAGTATAATGTTTTATTATAAAATTTTATTATAACCATTTATCTTTTATTTAAATTTTTTTTAAAATTTATATACATTATAAATATTTAATTCATTAGAATGATTTTTTAAAAATTTGTATTTTTGACAAAATACTTTTGTGTAGTACACGAGTTAAAATACTAATATTAATATATATATATATATATATATATATTATTTATTATATTATATTATTTTAAATAAATTCATTATTTTTTTATAATTTTAAATTCAAAATTTTTTAAAAAAATATGTTATGTGTCAACTTCTTATTATCATTTAATACTTGAACTTTTCTACCTTAATCTTACTTTCATTCTCAATGTTGTCACAAGAGGTCATCGAGTAATTTTACACAAAAGGTCACCCATTATGTAGATCTATTTTGTCATCACTTTGTTGTTGTTATTTCATCAGATCCCACACAAGACATGGCCATCACTAACAAATAACTTGAGTGTTTAATACACGAAATAACTCTTATTTACATATAGTTAAAACATATTTAAATTTCATTTTATTTTTGTGGATTCGTAATGTGAAAATTTATGAGTGAAGTGAAGAAGAAAGATTATGAGTGACGTGACATTTAACTGATAGAGGTTAACGTTATATACAAAATAAAAAAAATTAACAGATAATAATTTGAAATAAATTCTTTTTAGAGGTAATTAAAATATATTTAAACTAAAAATATTTATAGTATAAAGTAAAAAAAGTGATAAATATATTATAAAAATTTATTAATAAATAAAAATAGCCAAAGTATTAGTATTTAAGTAAATTCTATAATGCTATGTAAAATGAGAAGATATTATGTGATTTTTACATGTGAAATAATTATAATAATTAATTTTATATTAATAAATAATAGAGTTAGTGATTTATTTTAAAAATATATAAATATTTTTAATTTTTAATTAGAAAAATATATAAAAAAATTTAATTTAGAGTTCAAAATTTATATTAACAAATAAAATATTATATTATTATTTGATAGTATATAATATTTTTTATAAAAAAAATAAATTACTTATTTATTTTATACGGAAAGTAGATAAATGTTTTGATAATATAAATTTTATAATAAATAAAAATATAAAAATAATTTAACAACTAATGTATTTTAAAAATATTTCTGTTTATTATATTTTAAAACAAAAAACAGTAATAATTATTTTTTATAAATAGAATTAAAAGGAGTAATATTTTTATTGACAAAATTATTTGTTGGTGTAATATATTATATTGTTAGTATATATTTACACAAATAATTTATAACTTTTTTTATTATAAAACTTTTAACTTATTTATATTTTATAATATATAATAAATATGTTTTAATATTATTATAAATTAATTAAACAATGTAATTATATTCTATAATAATTGACAAACCCTTAAAATTTCCCGATCATTACATGTGTACAGTTGTTACTTTACAACAAAATTTCAACCTCTACTTGAAATTATATTAATATGTCAATCAAATGGATAAATATTTATATTAAATGAGAATAAAGACTTTACATCAAATGGTGATATTATTTAAATAATAAAATAAATATTTGAAAAAAGTACAAAATTAAAATTTTAAATAAAATAATATTTAAATTGAAATAATGAATATCTAGGAAGTAATTTAATTTTTAAATCATATTTATTAATGTATTTTTATAATTATAAAAATGTCGGATTTTCATCATTTATATTTTTCTTTTGCTAAACTCTGGCCAATTTAAACATTGTCATTGATTTATTTTACTTTCTACTGTGCACTACTTTTCTTCTTTCAACACCTGATTAATTGTTTTTATTTATTATTTTTCTTCATGTTATGTTTTCTTATGATTCTTTATTATAGGTTTTGATTTCTTTTTATTTTTATTTTTCATTATGCATAATGAAGTATTAATTGCTTTTATTTATATATTTTTGAATTCGAGTTAAAGGTTGATTTTTGTTATAATTTATTTTTGGGGTACTGATACATTTCTAACTATTCTTGATATTATGAGGTTAACAAATTTACAACTTCTTACAATGTTGCAATTTCATTAAGTTTTTAAGCATATTTTTATCTAATTTAAAACAACAAGTTGCCCTTTCGATAATGACTTATATTTAGTAATTTCTACGGTATTTTACATTTTATGTCTTCTCACGATTATAATTATTGTTATTAATTTTATATTAATAAATAAAAAATTACTAACTTATTTAAAAATATAAATATTTTTAATATGTAAAATAAGTAAATTTTACCGTATTATGTAAAATGAAAATGTATTTTATATTCTTTTACATAGTGAAGTTAATAATTTTTTTACTATTATTAATAATTTATTTAAAAAAACATAAACACTCTTAATTTATAAAATATCAAATAAATTACAACACTAAATATAAAAAATATATATAATATCTCTTTAATTTTAAGAGTATAATAATAAACACTTCTAAAATATATCAGATGAATTACAAATATCATCTATAGAAAATATATTTTTAGAATATATATATATAATTCCTTTTAAATACCTTTATATTTAAATAATTAAATTTATTTTAAGTTTAAATAATGTTTTAATCTTTATATTTCATTCAAATTTATAAATTAGTCTTTACATGTAAAAAAATTATAAACCCTAAATCCTAAAGACTAATTTATAAATTGATTCTTATACGTATATTTATTTTCAATTTAATTCTTGTCATTAAATTTAAAATAAATAACGTGAAATAAGTAAGAGATTAAATTGAGAATAAATTTAGTATTAGGACCTATTTATAAATTTTTTATATTTAGAAACTAACTTACAAAATTTTATATGTAGAGACTAATTTACACATCTAAGTCAAAAATATTTTTATATATTTATAATACACTGTTGATTTATATATTAATTTTACAATTCACTCACACCTTCCCTTTCCTTGACTCTAATTTTATTATTTTCATTCTTCTTCTTCTTCCTTTGGGGTAACCTTTAATAGAGTCAAAGTCTATTTTTTTCTTAACTTCCCATTCTAAAAACTCAATTAATTCTTAACAAATTTTACTAAAATCTTTTATATTCTCAATCACTTCACCGTCTTTACCCACACTCACCTATCTCAAATTTCAATCTCTTATCAAAATTTTCTCTATCTTCAAATATACCCTCACATGTATTGTTAGCAACATAATTACCAACGCATTTATCTACGTTTTTATTCACTTCTTTAGTATCATCAAAATTTAAATACAAACCAAAGTTGTATTATAGATTTATAAAAATACATTTAACTCAAATTTCTAATTAGTTTCTACATGTAAAAACTTTATAAATTAATCTTTATATTATATTTATTTTTAATTTAGTTATTTACTTGTTTAACCTTTATCCTAAACTTATTTGTAAGAACTAAATTAAAAATAAATATTAATATAAAAATTAATTTACTAATTTTTTTATACGTAGATACTAACTTCCAAATTTGAGTAAAGAACCATGATTAAATATTTAAAACTTTATTTTATTTACATGATATTGAAAGTGGAGCGAAGGAAGAGTGAACGGTGTGAGGGTTATTATTAAATTGGAAATTCCTATCGTGTGCAGGTATGCTACTATGCTATTGCTGAGAGTGTACTTAGGGTTAGGGTAACAGTCTAAGAGGGTTCTTTGTTTGTTACATTCATTTTCATTCTCTTTTCTTCGTTCAATCAGTTATGATGGATGGAAGAAAAGGAGAATACGAACCAGAAGGAGGGGAGTGGGAACTCCTTCACCACCAAAACGACGTCGAAGAGGAAGACCCTTTGGTCTTTCATGGGCCCCCACTGGGCTCTCTAAGGCCCGATCACTTCTCCCTCAACCCTCCCATCCACAACCCCAATTCAAGCACTTGCAGTTCCAATTCCTCTTCCGAACTCGATCGCAACTTCGACGATTCCTATGTCGCCAACCACCTCTTTCCCTCCCCCAACCCCGACCACCCTCTCTGGAACGATTCCGATTCCGACGCCTCCACCGCTGTTCTCGCGCCGGAGCCCCAAAGCCACCTCGTTCCTCTCGATTCAGGTAAGGAAGAAGAAGAAGAAGAACCGAAGAAAATCGTCTGGTGGAAGGTCCCGTTTGAGGTGTTGAAGCATTGGCTCAATCCTCTTCCTCTTCCTCTTCCTCTCTGGTCTCTCTCCGTGGCTGCTGCTGCTGCGTTTTTGGGATTGATGTTGCTGGGAAGGAAACTGTACAGAATGAAGCGCAAGACTCAATCCTCCTTCAACCTTAACCTCGCTCTCGATGATAAGGTCCTTTCTTTCTTTCTTATCATCAAACATATTCGCTTTTTCGTTTTCGAATTAAGTTTAACGAAACACGCACTTAATAATGTATGTTTGGTTTCAATTGTTTCTTTTAAAAAAAAGAAAGTCTCTTTTTTGTGTTTCTGTTGTCCAGAGGTCTTTTAGAAAATTAGCCAAACGTGCACTTGTAATGTTGCAAATTGTCTGGGAGTTGCGTTAAAGTTAAAGGCTCCTTTTGGCAAATAGTATACGAATGGGTGCCGATTGGGTAACAGCTTAATTAAACACTTATTCGATAAGCTTTTATTGCATATGGAGTTTGTATCATAAATTTGACCTTGAAACTTGTTGACATGATTTGAAAAGAGCTTATTTTGATAAGTTATATGAAGAGATTTATTGAAATAAGTTGAAAAGAGCTTATTAGAGTCATAAGCTATTTTCATAAGCTTTTCATAAGTTATTCCAAACACATCTTAATTATACAATTTAAATCCTGAAAGATGTTACTTGTCAATATTGCTTTAATCTCTGAAAGGTTTTCTTTGTCTATGTGTGTTGTTTGTGAATTGACCACTTTGGGGATTGGTTTGTATGCAAGGACTTTCAATGACCAAAACAACACAATCAACATCTTATTTTGGGAATAAATTGTATATTTACTGGTAGTTATATGCTGATTTCATTATTAAATATAACTGAAAGCCAATAAATGTTTCACAACTCAAATTGGCTGCTCATAGTCCTGAGAAAAAGAATTTGAACTGCTGGGTGTACAAGCGTTGGAATTGGAATTTCTAGACACTGGTTTGTGTTTTTAGCTGGGCAAAGAGAAATTAGAGAGGGGATTATGTATAGTGCTAGAATTTCTTGTGATAGCCACTGAATTTTAACAATGGGAACTTGATTAGATTGAGATTTTGAATGATGTGAAAAGCGTGAATTTGATCTGTAAATCTGTTAGTGTGCCGGCGCTGCTTCTAGCTTTGTAGCAGTTTTTGTAGAAGATAAAAATTAAGGAGTCTGGAGCTTAGTGTTGGTGTGTAGTTTGTGTAGTCCTGTGGTGCATTTAGTGGGAGGATCAGACTGATCTCATCTTTAAGGGTGCATGTGGCCGACCCCACCTCGTAGTCCTGAGCTATATTTTATGCATTTTGTCTCTAATATTAATTCTTATCTAATAAATGCTTTGTTTGTTGGTGATAATATAAAAATAAAGGATACATTATGTATTGATGTAAACGTGTTAGCTTGAGATATGTACACACCAAATAATTCTGCTCCAATTAATGGATAGTACAAGAGTTTATTGGCTTTATCTTATCTAGTCTTATCATTTCTTCTCATATTCTCCGTTTTGTATCCTCTTTTTCTGGTGTAGTGCCAATGAAGTCTAAATGATTCACTTTTTTTAGTAACCCAAAAGCTTTTTAGTGAACCACAATTCCAGGAGGACTGAGCAAAGACAAATGCGAATATGTTTGAATACCCTGTTTGGTGTCTGACTTGGATAAGTTCTTTTGGCTTCTGCCCTGCATAACGAGGATCAATTCTCTTACTATTTCTTTTATTATGCTGACTATCCTTAGTATGGAGTCATCCTTACTTGTTTCACTGCAGTTCATTAGTTAAGAAAAGCTTGTGGAGATCATAAATTCAGAATGTATGGCTTCAATTAGTGGTTTTGTCATACACGTGGATTCATTAAGATTTTAGAAAAAATCATCAATGATTAGAAGAATAAAAAATGAAAGGCAGTACATAGTTGAAAAAATTTACTGAAAATTTATGCAAGTGATTTCTATAATATTCCAGAGTGATGGTGTTTTCAAATGACTCACTATATATTATAATTTTCCATATCTTCAAGTATTATTTCACATTTTTCTTTAGTCTAAACAGTAGTTCAAGAAACTGATGTGCATTTTCCCGTAATCTACTACATATGTTAGTTGGTTAATATGTTTGACTTTCACTTTCACTCCATGAAGAAAACATTTTACAGTTTCATTCATGTCTAAATTATTATCTGCTGATTATTAATGTTCTGTTGCGGAGGACTGGTTATGCATCCACATCCACTTGCATATCATGGTTTTGTTAATGTTTATCTCATAAAAGTGATTTTTTCAGAAGGTATCTCAGCTCATGGGTCGCGTTGCACGTCTTAATGAAGCATTTTCAGTTGTGAGACGTGTTCCCATAGTGCGACCATCTCTGCCAGCTTCAAGTGTGACTCTGAGGCCTGTGATGAGTATGAGATGAAGGATTTTATATATTACTTGATTGAAAGTAGTGTGAAATGCAATAATGGCTGTAATAATATAAAAATCCTTTTGTATGATTACGTGTATCTATTATGTGTGTGGGAGTTGAATTTTATGAAGCTTTTCAGTAGCTTCTTGTATATGAATGACATCGTATCATATTGTTAATTTCTCTCTTGCAAATATGTTTCTGCTGTGAAATTCACTTTTTATTTTGGGGGAACACTGCAAACAGAAAAACAACACGGAGCTTGGAATGTGTGATGTATTTAGTTATCGTTGTTAACTAGAAAATTGCCGAAAGTAATACTGTAATAGATTAAAACAATAATTAGGATTTAGATTTTGTGATGAAATTTACGATATTCTAGATTGGGAATGTACGAGGGAAAAGCAATATGCTGACTTTTATATTTTTACCATGAATCTTGGCACTATGTTATTGCTATTTTTGTGTTTGCGGGTATAGTGTTCTTAAAGAAATAAATGTTTTTTTATCAAAAAATGTTTAAAGATTTTAGATAATTAGTTTTTTTTTCTCTAAAAAGTTAAAAATTAAATAAATTTAGAAAGTGTAGGTTCTGAAATAAGTTAAATATATTGATGTTTAAAGCTTGTATAAAATCTAATTCAAACAGCAACACGGCACAAAATAAGCTTCGAATAAATAATATTTAAAAAATGTAGATTATAATTTCAAGTGGTTACAAATTAAAGGCGTCCGGTATCGGTTTGTCCTACTATTTATCAATTACAAAGTAGAGTTATACAAATTCATTCATTTTGAAAGTGAGTTGGAAATTTTAGGTCATCTAGTTTTGTGAAAGATTAATAAGTAGCCTGATTAAATAATAAAAAATAAGTAGGAAAAAAATGAAGTGTATATATATAAGGAGAAATTTTCAAATTATATATTTTAATAACTTTTCTTTGAATAATTTAATAATAAAATTAACTGTTAAATTAAAAATTCTATTAACATAGATTAAAACTTATAATTAGGTAGATTATATATGCAAAATTTGAGAATGATTCAAAATTATTTAATATTTTATTTATATATATTAAAAATAATGTAATATGTACTTCTAAAATTTATAAAAACAATAACTCTTTAATAACAATATTATATATGTTAATTTTATCAAAATTTGACACAAATATTTTTTATAATATATAATTATAATTTAATAATTAAATTAATAAAAATTATTTTTTAGATTAAATTATTCGTTATATAAGAGTAAATATGATTTATATTGATATAATTTGATCTCTTCACATTATACATAATTATCGAGATAATATAAAATAAGTTGACGATTGAATTGATCAATTTTATATTATATGATAAATTCTTAAGTATTTTAAGAGTTCAAATTTGACACCTAATACTAATGAATCTTGATTCATAATACTACTTAATATTTTTTTTATAAAATACAAGATTAATCAATTCAATTGAATGTTCTTATCAAGTAAATTAACTTTACAAAGTTTTATATAAAAATAAAATTAATAAATACTTTATCAAATTATTTTGTTTTAACCGATAATATATTTTTAAAATATAATAAAATATCAAATTTTAGATAAGATACCTTCAAATGTCTAAATTGTATAAAATTTGATGTCTCGTATAAAATAATTTAACTGTTAAATTTTTGAATATTGCGTTCTATAAAAAGTTATTAAGTGGGGGTAAATAAATTTAAATTAGAATAAATAAGAATTTAAAATTAGGAAATAAAGAAAGAAAAGTAACTTGATGAATTAAGAAATAAAGATGGGTTGATGGTTCACACATGTATCTTGCTTTATCATTCTGCAAATTTAAGTCCTGGTTGTCTTCTAGTTTGTAGGCATTTTGTGCCTCCTTTTCTTCAATGTAGAAAGGATTATTTTCCAGTAATCAATGCCATTTTTTGAGAGAAGAATTATAATTCAATCACTTAACAATGTTTTGTATTTGTATGGATCTCTCTACATGCAAAGCTTGTTGGAATTATTTTATTCCAATAAATAATGTGTGGGCTACATATTAAATATAATAATACATTTATATTAAGCTATTTACGCTAATTGGGCTAATTGCAAGTGATCTGCATCAGGTGAGCCCATTTGGATTACCGTAGGAAGTAATGTGGGTCCATATGAGTGGATACCGGACTTGGCCTATTTCGGTATAGTGGGAATCCTAATAGGTGAATATAAAAATAAGCCCCTCTAGCGGTGCTGGTCTCCAATAGACCAAATCAAAAAAAATAAAAAATATTGCCTCTATACTTCTTCCCATCAGGAGTTTGGCTCTAAAGTCCCTGTAATTGGGATTACGGCGATTTGGTTAAGGAAGACCATAACACCACTATTCTTGAATCAACTTGCAACAGAAACGATAATCACTCATAGTGAAGTCCATTACCTAGACTAAAGCTTCCGCTGTCATTTAACCGCAGCAAAAGCGTAATGGATCCGGGTATGTACTTTATACTCTAATGAATATCTAATAATAAGGTCTGTTATTTATCTTTCTTATTGATCTAATATGGATGATCAATTGGGTTAATATATAATGGAGAGTCTTCTAACAATTGGTATCAGAGCCAACCATAATTGAATCATTAAGAAAGTTATATTCATTATAGATATTCAGTCGAATAATTTAAACTGAGATCGTTCAAATCCATTCAGAAATTCTTTGACAAATAATATCTTCAATAAGGTATATAGATTTCTTCAATAAAGCAATTTTTTTTTATGTGATGATAATGGACAATTCTTTTAACAGCTATGAGACAAACGCCAGGGGATAAGAGTGGTGGTTAACTAAAATTTTTTCTACGATGGCAACTTTAGAGCATATAATATCACACAAAAAAATTGTTTGTGATTATAATTTACTTTCACTATAATCAAATACTTTTAGGTCACTTAACTATATTTGTTTGTTGAAATTATTTTTTTAGGAAATTTGAAAGGAACTAATCAAATGGAATAAAATTGGATTCTGTGAGAAGTATTGTGCTAGAATTTTCCGTAGCCTAAACTCATCCGCTACATGGATATATCTTTTGAAATACAACCTTGTAAACATGAACATCCTTATTATTGAAGAAATAAATGAAGATAAAGCGTTTCCTAAATGCAGAAAAAACCAGCAAGCTTAATGTCTCAAAGCAATATGTGGTGGTCAATACATTAAAGATAGTTTTGATTTAATGGAATTATGCTTTGAAACATTAAAGATATGCTTATGGAGAGGATACAAAATAATAAGATACTATAACAGCTGAATAAAGATAAAATAAGAGTATTGTTTAGTTTCTGAACAAAGGGTGTAGTCTAAACACAAGGTTAGCTTTTGCTGGTTGCAATGGTTGATTCAGAAAATGCTTTTGCAATTTCTTTTGTGGCCCTCAAATCTTAATTAGCTTCCACGATCAACACTTTCCTATTCCGAAATAAGCATCAATGTTAGCTCATACTTCTTTTATTTTCACATGTTGTACTAAGTTTGTGCCCAAGTTGAGTGTTAACCCTCGTACTAAAATTATAAATTGGATACATCGTATTATTATATCTTTTGAATTTTTTTACCTCAATCTTAAGAAATGCGATAATCAGAGAGTTTGTAAAATATTTTAAAAATATGAAAAAACAATTTGAGAATGCAAACCACTAATATTCAGCTGTACAATACACTGTTCACATATTTACTTTCTGAGGGGTTAAAAGCCTAAAATTACTTTTCTTTTCCTTCTCCAATTGTACGAAGGAGCCATCGTTTCGTATACCTGCGGAGGGAGAAAGAAAGTCATCAAAATATTGGCACAAAATAACAAGTATTCAGTATGTTATAAGAATATTTCTAAATAAATGTCAAACATAATATAAAATTTAAAATTTAACCAGTTTTAAGAAATGTATATTTTAATTTAAAATTTTAAAAAATTCAAATTAAGTTTAATTAAAAAAATGTTATTTTAATAATGATTTGTAAATATTTTATTATATTCAATACTAAATGAAGAAATTTACATATTAATTCAAATAGTTAAGAGAATAGAAAATGTATATTTATATTAAATAACTAACTAAAAAACTTTGATTTCATTTGATGCCGAGATCCATAAGATGTGTAGTAAAATGGATAAGACACACATAGCTTGTGAAAATGAGAGTAGATGTAAAGGTTGTATTGTCTTTGAGAATAAAGACTCTAGTATATAATAAATAATATTATACTTTTATTTTTTTAGGTGTAATTTTGGTTCTTGCAATTTTTTAAAAATTAATTAAGTTTTTACTATTTTTTTAATTTAAGTAATTGATTTTACTATCAATCTTTTCACAACCCTTGATAATTTAATCAGATTAATTTGTAAAAATTTAAATAAAAAAATAGGAATCTGGAGGCAATAAGATGAATTTTGTTTAAATTTCAAATTATTGAAATTTTTTTCTTAAAAATAAATTAAAAGAGTAAAATCAAATACAATACAAACAAAAAATAAGAAGAAAAAATGACAATTAAACCTTTCTTTGTAAAGTCTTGAAAATAATAATCAATATAATTATTCAAAATTAGACAACTGCAAATAATGAAATTATTCGATCAGATAATCAATATAATTTGACATGAAATTTTATTTTTAAAATGAAAAATCAATTTAAAATTTCTTTTATATTAAATCTTTGTCATGTCTAATTATAGAAATACTGTTTATTTTAAGACCTAGATCTTAATTCAACTTCTTTAAAGAATAATTCATAATTGTTTTCTTAAGAAAATACTATAAATTTTTATGTAAAATACCTAAAAATCTTCTATTATTTTTGAAATGTCAAGCTGAACTTATTATATTATTTTATAATAAAAAAATGTAAAGAAAAAATATTATTATGTAAATTTATGTTTATTAAACAAGTCGTCATTTTTTTCTCATAATTTACAACAAAATACACAAGATGACTAATATGAATTTTTTTTAAAGCTACAAATATCCTGAATTAAGTATATACTTCTAACAGTCTCCTAATTTTAAGTTTTATCTAACAATATCTATCCATGATCCCCAAAATTCATTAGTTGGTCGTTGAAGTCAACATCAATCAATATAAAAAAATATATGTATATTGTTTAAAACCAAAATTAAAATCCTTAACAAAGGATATAACGATGATGAGTAGTACTTGATTGTAAATAAGATCATACAAACAAGAGAGACATGACGGACACGTGTCCAGATACAGGAGCGAGAGAGCAGTGTCGGTGGAGACACTGGATTCCCTCCAATAAATTATGGTTCCTTTTCTGCAATGAAAATTACTAAAATAAGATTTAACATAAAAGGCGGGATCCGATTCATGCCACACCATTCCGGTCCCGGAATACCTTTTTTGCGGTGGTGCTTGTGGCTGAAATCGGCGCCGGACCTTGCCACGCCTCCTTCGTCTCCCTGACCTTTCTCGCTTCAGCACTCTAAATCTAGCGAAAAACGTCATCCCGTGCCTCTCTTTTACTTTCTACGATTTGGTTCTCCCCGTTTATGGATCCGGGTTCTAGAAGCTTCCTTTCTCATTGCTAGTCCTCTTTCTTGCGGTTTTGCTCGCGAGATTCTGTGTTTCTTAGCTGATTTGGTTCGATTGATCTGTTCAATTTATTATTTTTTTAAAAATTATGGCATTCTGCATTTGGGTTTTGTAACGGAATTCATAGATCGCTGAGGGATGGTATATGCAAGTGAAGTTCTATCTTTGTTTTTTTATTTTGAAAACTTAATATTTTTGGGGAGGGAGAAGATAAATTAGGTTATGGCTTTGTTATGTTGTTGCTGCATGGCAAAAGTTAGGAGTGTTTTCAGGGTTAATATGTGGTATCCCCCTTAAAGGAAGTTGGTGTAAAACAGGCAGCTTAAAATAATATGTATTTCCTGGCCATTATATAGACCAATAAATTTAATAATATAGCCTAAGATATAGGAAACAATATATAGGGAATTGCAGAATATAACCTAAAATACAGGAAACAATATAGAGAGAATTGCGGGACAGAATAACAAACTAATCCTACTTTTATATTATCTTAATATTCCCCTTTAAGTTGGAGTATAGAGGGAAGAGATATCCAATTTGGATATGAGAAACTAGAATTGCTTCTGTCCAAACGCTTTTGTTAGAAGATCTGCAGGTTGGATAGAAGTACGGATATGTTCTGTTGAGATTGTTTTGTTCATTAGATGTTCTTGAACAAAGTGGCAGTCGAGTTCAATATGTTTTGTGCGTTCGTGAAACACAGGGTTGGAGGTAATATGTATTGTTGATCGGCTATCACAACATAATTTCATTGACATGGAGTGTGTGATGCCTAGGTCCTTCAAGAAACCTTTGACCCATAATAGTTCAGTTGTAGCATCTGCCATCGCCCAATACTCTGCTTTTGCTGAGGAGCGAGAAATGTTGTGTTACTTTTTAGATTTCCACGAGACAGGAGAGTTCCCTAGTGAAACAAAGTAGCCCGTGATGGATCTTTTAGTGATCGGACAACTTGCCTAGTTTGAGTCGCAATATGCACGTAGTTGAAAATTACAGCTAAAGCTCAAGAGTAATCCCTGCCCTGGATTTCCTTTAATATAACGCAAAACACGCAGCACAACATCATAATGTTCTTGTAGTGGGGTTTGAAGAAACTGAGAGATAGTGTGCACTGCATAGCTTAATTCTGGCCGAGTAATAGTGAGATACACAAGACGTCCGACAAAGCGTTGATACCTTGTTGGATCACTGTAAGGTGGGCCATTAGCAAGAGCTAACTTATGATTTTGATCCATGGGCGAATCACATGGTTTGCATCCGAGTAAACCACATTCTTTCATAATGTCCATTGCAAATTTTCGTTGGCTTAAAAACAAACTAGAAGAACTTCGAGCAAATTCAATACCTAGAAAGTATTTAAGGTTGTTAAGATCTTTGATCTTGAACCATGATTGGAGATGAAGTTTAACCCGAGCACAAGCAGAAGTATTGTTACCAGCCAAGATGATGTCGTCAACATATACAAGAACCACTACAAATTCATCTTCACGAGTGAATGTGAATAGAGTGTAATCGGCTTTGGATTGTTTAAAGCCATAGCTCAGAAGTGAGTCCCTTAGTTTTGCAAACCAGTTTCGTGGTGGCTGTAACAAGCCATACAGGGATCGATGCAGTTTGCACGCTAAACCTGTAGTACCACTACTGAAACCCGAAGGAAATCACATGTACACTTCCTCCTCAAGGTCTCCATTAAGAAAGAGCATTGTGTACATCTAGTTGAGAAATATGCCATCCTTTTGCAACAGCAACAAAAAGAAGAATATGTACACTAACCATTTTTGCGACAGGGGCAAAAGTTTCATTATAATTCTCCCCCTCAATTTGGTTGTTGCCAGCAATGACCAATTTGGCCTTGTAACGTTCAATAGAGCCATCAGAGTGATATTTGATGAGAAAGATCCAGGTGGGAGAGGAGTGACTACCCATGTTTGATTATCCTCAAGAGCTTGAATTTCAAGCTTCATGGCATTTTGCCATAGTGGGTCCTTCATCGCTTCTTTGAATGATCGCGGTTCTATGTTGCTACTAACAGCTGCTAAGAAATTTTGATGCTGTAATGAGAAAACATTATTAGTAACATAATTTTCAATAGGAAAAAGAATACCTGGAGAACAATTGGAGAGGGCATTGATAGAAATGGGTGTAGTAGTTGTGCAGTAATGATAATCTTTTAGATATGCTGGTGGGCGATGGGACTTGCTGGATCGACAAAGTTCTATAGAAGCTTGTTGTAGAGAAATAGTGGTGCTCCCCCTTTCCTCAGGCTCTCGTGATGGGGATGAAACATCTAAGGAATGTGGTTCTGTTTCATACGGTTCATATATGATTGCAGGTGGTGCAGTGACTTGTGTAGAGAGTGTATCAATTGAATTTAGTGCAAATGGAAAGGTGTCCTCAACAAAGGAGATATCGCATGACACAAAAATCTCTCTAGTACTTAAATCAAATACCTTCCATCCTTTTTTATTTGAATGGTAGCCCACAAAAACACATTTTCGCGATCGAGCGAAAAACTTATCAGTTGGTTTAGAGAGTACTATAGCATAGCATAAGCATCCAAGGACCCTAATATGATCATACTTGGGTGGCTTGTTGTGAAGTCTTTCATATGGAGTTTTTCCTTTGAGCAGTTGTGTGGGAGTTCTGTTTATCACATGAGCAGCTGTGAGAATGCATTCACCCCATAAAGTAACAGGAAGTTGTCCGTAAAATCGTAATGCACGTGCTATGTTGAGAATATAGCGATGGTGGGGTTCAACTCTACCATTTTGTTGTGGCGTGTATGCACATGACAATTGTTATAGGATGCCGCGGTTTTCAAAGAAACGTCGTAGGGAAGAAGTGAGGAATTTACTGCCATTATCAGTTTGAACCTGTTTAATCATGATATTGACTTGTGTGTGTACCATTGTAATGAACTTTATTATAGTTAGGCATGCTTTACGTTTATCACGCAGAAGATAAACCCATATATGTCTGCTGAAGTCATCTAATATAGTAAGAAGATAATGTGCACCAGTGGAAGAGGCACGTCTATATGGTTCCCATAAATCAAAATGAATTAAATAAAAAAGGCATAAACTCTGTTTATTATTTATTGGAAATGAACAATGTGTTTGTTTGGCTCTATGGCACACATCACAATCTATTGTTTTATTAGAACTAGAAACAAATGGTAGAAAAGCTAGACATTGCTGAGAAGGATGGCCCAACTGCCGATGCCATAAGCTTGAAGAAGAATCACATTGAACAACCATTGCCGATGTGGGTTGACTCAGCACATACACCCCTTCATGCTCAACACTCTGTCCAATCGTCCTCCTCGTATGTTGGTCCTGTAGAAAACAAGTGGAATCAGTAAACATGGCAACATAATTGTTTCGACGTAGCAACTGAGAAACAGAGATCAAGTTGTATGTAAGCGACGGGACGTAGAGAACATTAGTGATTAATAATATGGAGGTTAGTTTAACATCCTCACACTTGACTGCAAAAATATGAGCCCCATTTGGTAAGCCTACCGGGCAAGGAGGAATGGTGCGAATATTAGACAAGAAGGAAATACTTCCTGTCATATATTGAGATACACCGTTGTCGAGTAGCCAATAATGGTTAGAGGACACCATACCCGATAATTTTTTGGTGGAAGCTTTGGAGGAAACAACAATGGATATTAACTGTTGAAGCATTTTAGGAGTGAAATCATTGATTGTCAAAGGTTTGGATGAGCCTCCTTCGTTAGAGAAAGCACCTGATTGAGTTGCATGAGCATAAATTACGGGTGGACGTCCTGAATTGGATCATCCTCGTCCTTGACCACGACCAGTAGAAGTGCGATTAGTGTAGCCATGGAGTTTATAACATCGTGAGACATCATGGTTTGGGAGTCCACAATGGGTGTGGGAGATTTGCGGTTTAAATGACGTGGTGGATGGCTTGGTCGTAGCGCAGCTGAGGGCATCAGTAGGCATTTCAGAAGATCGAATTATTGTATTATGTGACTCCTCTTGAATGACCATGGCAAAAGCCCGATTAACAGTGGGAAGTGGGGTGGTATTGACGATCTGAGTGATAAGACTGCTGTAGATAGTGTGGTCAAGACCTATAAAGAATTGATAGAGCCAATCATTTTCTTGTTCGGTATCAATAGATTTTTTGAATGCACAATTATCACCTGTGGTGCAAGCATTAGATGTGCGACTGGATTCTAATTCATCCCATATGGACTTGGTGTAGTAATCAGTAACATATGTGCCATTTTGCTTCATAGTTGTAAAGGAAGCTTTTAGATGGAAAATTTGAGGAATGTTAGCTACAACAAAGCAATCCTTGAGATCATCCTAAAGCGCTTTGGCCGTCTCAAAGCACTTGATGTATGGTTGCAATTGAGGGTCAATAGTATTATAGATCCAACTATTAATCATGGAATTACATAAAGGCCATGCACATGATTCGTCAGAGGTCTCATCAGTGGGTGCAATGACCGTGCTGAGAATAAAACCAAGTTTGTTCTTGGCTTTCAATGCATTATGCATTATTTTTGCCTAATTTTCATAGTTAGATTGTCTACGTAACAGAACAATAGTGAGAAGAACACCGGGGTGATCAGAGGGATGAAGATAAAATGGTGATTTTGGATCGAAGATTTTGAGAGACTGGTTTGCAGAAGTCATGGTGAAAAAAAAAAGGAAACTGACGCAGAAACATTAGGCTCTTAATACCATAAAGGAAGTTGCTGGGAAACAAGCAACTTAAAGTATTATTCATTTATTGGCCATTATATAGACCAATAAGTTTAACAATATAGTCTAAGATACATGAAACAATATACAGAGAATTGCAGAATATAGCTTACGATACAGAAAACAATATACAGGGAATTGCAAGATAGAATAACAAACAAATCCTATTCTATCTTATCTTATATTAATACCCCTGACCCATATATTATGGGCCAAATAATTCATAACTTAATTAATTTTTTTTAGTTAATATAAGTGCAATGGGTTATTTTAATGTTGGGTAGGGCTGGTGCCCTTTTTGACACCTCTAAGTGCTTAGTCTCGGCAATTTAAGAAAATTTAGATGGTTTTTATAATAATGCATGACCACCTTAAATGAGTATGTAGCATATTTTTTAAACATGCTACATAGCAATTAGAATGTTATAAATCTAGGCTGTTAGCCCCGTTTCATATCTTCTATAATATTTTGTGATCTTTTATAAAATTATACAACTTTTTTTATTTGATGAATATAACTTAATATCGAAACAATAATATAATTATTTAATTTAATATTAAATATGTAACTTAGCCTAGAATCAAGAAGAAAGAGTTGTTTATGCGTCAAACGTAAAATAAACAGTGATTATTATAATTGATGTATCTGTCTCTTCTTTTTGGAAGAGCAAGCTGAGGTAAGCTTAGAAAAAGAGAATGTGGGATTGAAGTAGCGAAGAGCGGGGTAGAAGAAAATGGTGCACAGCGCATACGATTGTTTGGAAGTGGTAGGCAATTGCCCTGACAAGATCGAAGCCATCGAATCGTACGGGTCGAAGCTCCTCGTCGGGTGCTCCGATGGATCGCTCCGAATATATGCCGCGGAAATCGAATCCTCCAATCGGTCTAAGCCTTACGCGTTGGAGAAGAATCTCGTCGGGTTTTCGAAGAAGCCCGTCCTCTCAATGGAGGTCATCGAATCCAGAGAGCTTCTTATATCGCTCTCCGAATCCATCACTTTTCACAAACTTCCTTCTTTCGAAACCATAGCAGTTATCACCAAAGCCAAGGGCGCCAACGTCTTCTGCTGGGACCACCAAAGAGGCTTCCTCTGCTTCGCCAGGCAAAAGCGCGTTTGCATCTTCAGACACGACGGTAATTATTCGATTGACGTAATTTTTTTTACGATTAATTGAAATTGATATTGAAATTTGAATGTGTGGGTGTAGGTGGCAGAGGATTCGTGGAGGTGAAAGAATTTGGTGTGCCGGATACGGTGAAGTCCATGTGTTGGTGTGGTGAGAATATATGTTTGGGGATTAGAAGAGAGTATATGATTCTGAATGCTTCCAACGGTTCTTTGTCTGAGCTTTTTACTTCCGGGAGACTAGCGCCACCTCTCGTCGTATCACTTCCCTCCGGAGAGCTTCTTCTTAGAAAGGTACTTGTTCTGTCTGCGAATGTGTTTCCGAGTGGTGATTGATTGTGCAATATCACAATGGTGTAGATTCTTATTGGGATAAACTTGTTAACGAGTACTTAGAGGAGAAGAAAATAAAAAGGATTAAGGAGGTGAAATGAATTAACCTTCTCGCGTAAGTTAAGTTAAATCAATTAATACAACTGAACTTTTAAAGTTCTTTTATCTAACTTTTCTATGAGTACTTATAGACTTAAATGGACTTTTTCGTTAGGAATAAAATACTTGTCTCAGTTGAAGAGTTTTCATAGGCTATAAGCTGATCCAAATTGTGGCCTAGCCAACTCTTCGAATTTCCTTGCTTTGTGTTTTGTATTGCTCGTTTTGGAGGAGGTAATTTGCTTTGTTGATGCATTTTTATAGGAGAACATTGGAGTCTTTGTGGACCAAAATGGGAAACTCCTTCCTGAAGGTAGGATTTGTTGGTCAGAGGCTCCTGTGGAGGTTGTGATTCAGAAGCCGTACGCTATAGCTTTGCTGCCCAGATTTGTGGAGGTAGCCAACTTTTTGAAATAATTTACTGGATCTGTCTTGTTGTCAAGAGGTTTTGGATCAATGTGTTATATTTTGGTTGCATTTTGCAGATTCGGTCTCTCCGAGATCCTTATCCACTAATACAAACGGTTGTCCTACGAAATGTTCGCCATCTTTGCCAAAGCAATAATTCTGTGATACTTTCTTCGGATAATTCTATTCATGGCCTCTTCCCTGTTCCTCTTGGAGCCCAGGTATTTCAAATATAGTTGAATGGTTGTTGTCCTTTGCCGTGACTTCTATTTATGGTTTCTAATGCAAATGGTAGAGCAATGAATCATATCACTTCTTTTTACACTACATTATCAAATTTTGTACTTGATTTTGTGTCACATGTTAAACATGAATCAGAAGTTAAGGATTTTGATATTTCATTGCAGATAGTCCAATTAACAGCTTCTGGCAACTTTGAAGAGGCCTTGTCGTTGTGCAAGCTTCTTCCACCCGAAGATTCAAGTCTTCGTGCTGCAAAGGAGGGGTCAATTCATTTAAGGTCATATATCATTATGAGCTTCTTCCTTTAAAAAAAGAAAGAAAAACTGGACATGTTGCCCCTATTCAGTTGAATACATTTGATTTTAAGTTCATCTCAATTCTAGGCACCAATTAGCGGGCAGTTTAAATTTGTATTTATTTCAAACTTTTGCATATTAATTGTTGAATGTCTTGAAATTTGTAGGATTCGGGGATAGTTATGATCGAAATGAATCGTCTGGACTAATCAATATGATCACCAAAGCTAATGTAAACAAAAAGAGAAATGTCTAATGCATGTTATATTCATCACTGATTGTTCCTTGTAAACCTTTAACGTGTTTTTAGATATTAGCTTAAGTTGGGGTGCGCTATGCATTTATGTTAATAAACTTATTAGTCGCAGTGGTCAATTTGTTTTTTCCCAACATTAAGAACGGTAGATTGTCTTCTTTTCATTAATGGGTAAAGGACTTAAAATATGATAACAAAAGGACTTTGATTATGTATGATACAAGTAGATTGTGGTCTGAACAATGTATCAGGAATTCCTATATTTTGAAAGAAATATACTAAACTATATGTCATGCATAATCATTTTTATCATTAAATAGTTATAAACAAAGTCTTTACACTCTGATAAGTGAAATACCAGACTAGGTGTGTAAGCTCATTTCAGTCATGTATTCTAGCCCCACAATATCAGTATACAATATTGATAATGGTCACTGGGCCACTATGAGTTGCATAATGATGCTTACATTAATGATAAAGTTAACTTTGTTTGGTGGAAGATTTTGCTTTCATGCATTTATATATTTAGTTGTTAGTAATTTCTTGAAATTATATCAGCTCAACATATTAATTATTGCTTACTTTTCATTTTTATTAAAGTTCTGTTAAATGTGTTTGTATCATGTTGTTACAGATATGCTCACTATCTTTTTGACAATGGGAGCTATGAGGAGGCCATGGAACATTTTCTGGAATCTCAAGTGGAAATAACCTATGTGCTTTCTCTATATCCATCCATTATCCTTCCCAAGACAACTATTGTTCATGAGCCAGAAAAGTTGGATCTTTATGGGGATGCTTCATATCTCTCGAGAGGTTCTTCAGGTGTGTCCGATGATATGGAACCCTCATCAACATCTCATATGTCAGAATCTGATGAGAATGCAGTACTTGAATCCAAAAAAATGAACCATAATATGCTCATGGCTCTCATAAAATATTTACAGAAGAAGAGATATAGTTTTATTGAGAAGGCCACTGCCGAAGGAACTGAAGAAGTTGTTTTAGATGCCGTTGGGGATAACTTTACATCCTATAATAGGTTTAGGAAAACCAATAAGGTAAATAAACTAGTTTTTATTATACTTTTTTGTTTTCTTCCATATTGAATATATCTCCAAACTAGGTGAGTGTTATGTCCGTGTGTGGATATGCATGTGTGTGTATATACTATATAAATATATAAGAAGTTTATCAAGTGTGAGCATGAGAGCATAAAATGATTAGCTCTTTGTGTGCTCTCACTCGATATGCCCCATTCTCCTCACAACACACACATGCAAGATTGATGATAAAGCTGTGGCCTGTGGGACATATAATGTCCTTAATCTCTTTTGAAATATCAAAACATTTAAATAATAATAATTTATATCCATTGTTATTGAAGTTATCATTTTGAAATTGTTGGTGTCAGGGGCGTGGTAGTATACCTGTTAGTTCAGGAGCTCGGGAGTTGGCTTCAATATTGGATACTGCTCTACTCCAAGCATTGCTTCTAACTGGACAATCATCAGTGGCTTTAGAATTACTGAGAGGTATTAACTACTGTGATTTGAAAATATGTGAGGAAATACTTCAAAAAGGCAACCACCATGTTGCTTTATTAGAACTTTACAAGTGCAACTCATTGCACCGGGAAGCTCTTGAACTTCTTCACAAATTGGTGGATGAGTCAAAATCTAGCCAATTGGAAATTACTCAAAGGTTCAAGCCTGAGGATATTGTTGAGTATCTCAAGGTAATTTTCTACTTGGTTAAAAATTTAATTCATATATTTTCCTTCTAATTTTTAAAAAGTTGTCACAGCTAATTTTTTTACTGCCTCTAAGACTAATATAGATGGTGCTTTTAGGAAGTAGTAGTATCTGTAATATTAGATTCTATAAGATAGTAAGTCCACACTCCACAGAAGTTGGTGGTGTATTTATTATGCCAGGTATTATAACGTGTTCTAGTGTTAATGGAGATTATATGAAGATATTCTTCTTTTGCATTATTTGATAGTCTAGATCAAATGACACTTTATCGTTAAAAATATGAACTATTTTGGTTTTGTGGCTCTGATATGCTAGCAGCAATAGTTTGAGCTTTTTCCTATATGGGCTACTTTTCCTCTGCATCTAGCTGTACTGGAAAGTGTTGTCTGCGTAAAGTCACTCACCAATTAATCATAAAAAGATGTTTTCAATCTCCATTACATGTGGATTTTAAGTTTTCCAGGAGACTCCAAATCCTCCAAAGTAAAAAGTTGTTTCCAATTCTTGGTTTTTAATTTGGTGGTTTCTGATGCAGCCGCTATGTGGGACCGACCCCATACTTGTTCTGGAGTTCTCAATGCTTGTTCTGGAAAGCTGTCCATCTCAAACTATTGAGCTCTTTCTGTCTGGAAATATTCCAGCTGATATGGTGAACTCATATTTGAAGCAGCATTCTCCAAACATGCAAGCTAGGTACTTGGAGCTCATGCTTGCAATGAATGAGAATGCCATATCGGGCAATTTGCAGAATGAAATGGTGAGGACCTCTTGCATATTATTCAAAGGCTACAAGGAATGAATGAATTCTGTTTTTTCTTTTGGCTTGATGGGAACAGCGGTTTTGGTGGATTTCATGTAAATAGCTTGTAAAAATTTTGCAAAAGCATTATGGTGATGCTGCTGCAAACTCAGTTGCTTTATTGTCAACATGTTTTCTATTTGATTAATAGTATGAGAAACACACTGAATTTACAGTATTCTGCAATGTAGGTACACATCTATCTTTCTGAAGTACTCGAGTGGCATGCTGATTTAAGTGCTCAACAAAAATGGGATGAGAAAGCTTATTCCCCGACAAGGAAAAAGCTATTGTCTGCCTTAGAGAGCATATCAGGATACAGTCCAGAGGCTTTGCTAAAACGACTTCCACCAGATGCTTTGTATGAAGAGCGTGCAATATTGTTGGGAAAAATGAACCAACATGAACTGGCATTATCTTTGTATGTTCACAAGGTAGATCAAGTATATATCATCTTTGTATTGTGAAGGGGAGACTCATTGATGTTGACATTTTCTGATATCCCTGATGCATAAGATCATTGCTTCGTGTATGAGTGTCATATAAATCAGTTTTAATGCTGACGAATGAGTGTGTTTTTCATTTGTAGCTTAATGTCCCGGAACTGGCATTGTCTTATTGTGATCGGGTCTATGAGTCTACCCATCAGCCATCTGTAAAATATTCCAGCAACATATACCTTGTGCTTCTACAAATCTATTTGAATCCTCGAAGGACCACAGCAGGTTTTGAGAAGAGAATTACAAATCTGTTATCCCCACAGAATACAACCATTCCAAAAGTTAGTTCATTGACATCGGTAAAAAGTAGAGGCCGAGGATCAAAGAAAATTGCTGCAATAGAGGGTGCAGAAGACACAAAAGTTGGTTTGAGCAGCACTGACAGTGGCAGGAGTGATGGTGATGCAGATGAATATAGTGAGAGTGGTTCTACTATCATGCTTGATGAGGTCCTTGATTTGTTGAGCCGCAGGTGGGATAGAATAAATGGAGCTCAGGCTCTTAAACTTTTACCAAAAGAGACTAAATTACAGGTATCCATTGCTTGCTAGTGCACTATAGCTACACAATTACTTTTTTCTGGTCAAACTTTTGTTAGTTTCTTCAATCTGGTATAAAATTGCATGTATAATATGCAGGACCTGCTTTCGTTTCTTGGACCCCTTCTGAGAAAATCTAGTGAAATGTACCGAAATTGTTCAGTGATAAAGAGCTTGAGACAGAGCGAGAACCTTCAGGTAAGCATACACCGGGAATAAAAAATTTAGCCATCATTAAAAGTTTCTTACTTCTGAATGGAATTATTGGACAACATCATTAGTTCGTACCTCATAGTATTTGTACTGTAGGATGTAACATGGCGGAGTCAATGAGTCGCGCTCTTGCGCATTTGCATACTTTTGTTTTGTTAGTATCTAGCAAGGAGCATGATTCAATTTGTTCACACAGGTGAAAGATGAACTCTATGGTCAGAGGAAAGCAGTTGTGAAGATAACCAGTGATAGCATGTGTTCTCTGTGCCATAAGAAAATAGGGACTAGTGTTTTTGCAGTCTACCCCAATGGAAGCACTCTCGTACACTTTGTCTGTTTCAGAGATTCTCAAAATATGAAAGCAGTAGGCAAAGGATCTCAATTGAGGAAGCGATTGTAAAAGTGAGAGGCCATACCGATGGGTGGTCCAATTGTCTCTTATGAGTGTGTGCTTTTTACCCATGGTACCTGCTGGTCGGTGGATTATTACCGCAGTGACACTAATGTGTTCCGGAATTCTTTTTTACTGTCCGTGTAAAATGTGAGATTTGGTATGTGAAGAGCGCGATGTGTTTATTTTCTTGTGATGTAAATATTCGGGTTAGAGGGTCGGATATTTATTTGTTAAGCATTGAAAAGGAGCAGATTTTCCCTCCTTTTTCTTATGTGTTGTATTATCTGCACTAAATTTATAAAAGTTAAATTTCAATATTATTTATTATTAAAATATATTGATAAATTGTATATAGTATTGGGAAGAATTGCAATAATCTAGGATTCTTATACAAAACTCGCCACAACTAGAATGTATACTACACAGAATTTTCATGATTTGGCTGTGTATGGTTCCATTCTATGGAAACTAAAAAAAATTCATGATACATATATATCAAATTCAAATTCAAATGAAGCCTTGTCAGCTGAAGGGTGTAAAGTGGTTGATTTCATTGTGGCAAAATGGATTGAATGGGATTCTCGCTGATCAAATGGGTCTTGGAAAGACAATCCAAACAATTGGATTTCTCTCACATCTAAAAGGGAAAGGTCTGGAGGGACCATACATGATAATTGCTCCTCTATCAACCCTCTCAAATTGGGTGAATGAGATTTCTAGGTAGATAAGTAAATGATTTGTTAATGATTATTGACAATTGGATTATTGACTATTTAATAACTTGGCAGAGCTATGGTCTTTGTTGAACTTCATTTTACCTGATATTTTCTCATCCCTTGAAGAATTTGAGTCATGGTTAGTATCCGTTGCTTATTGTTTATTTAAGATCATGCTTTTCTTCTTTCCTCGAGTAACCTCTGATGATATGTCAACTCTGAGTTGATTTTGTTAAAAAACTATGCCTGAAAATGTTTGATGTGTTTTATATTGAACAAATGAGAGCTTTTTATATATATATACTTGCATCAATATCACTTAGCGTATTGAAGGGAAACAGTTTGGCTGATTCCATTATATTCAATAAGTTTTGATCAGTTTGATATTGTTTAAGTTAATTTATAATTTTTCTTTCAATCACTACTAGATATTTTCTCAATTTTAATGTCGTTTTCATTAGAATCTGTCTAGTTCTGCCCCTAGCCCCATTTCTGCTCACCTGTATGAATTTTACATAGGCAAAGTCTGCTTTTCTATGAAACCTAGTTGTTGCTTAGGACTTTGTTTTGCTCTTTTCTATATGATCAATGGTTTTTCTGTCATTTGACAATATTGGTTTTGGTTTTATGCTAAAAGAAAAACTGCATGTTTTGTTTTAATTTCTTCTATGCAATTAAACTCCTTGTAGGTTTAATCTGTCAGGAAAGTGTAGTAATGGATCAACTAAAGAAGAACTTGAAGAGAAACGGAGGACACAAGTATGCACACTAAGATTGGTTTTGTGTTACATGTCCATTCTCATATAAACTGAAAGGCTTAATGAATTTATCACATGCAGGTAGTAGCAAAACTTCATGCCATTCTTCGACCCTTTCTTTTGCGAAGAATGAAGTCTGATGTTGAGATTATGTTGCCACGAAAAAAGGAGATTATTATCTATGCAAACATGACTGAGCATCAGAAGAATTTGCAGGATCATTTAGTTAATAAGACATTGGGGAACTTTTTACAAGAAAAATTGTCAATTAGTAAGATTTGCTTCCAACTTTTGCTCTGAAAACAAAAAGTGTACTTGCAGCTCATGTACTTGTACTTCCAGTTATGTGGGTTTTTGTCTATGAAATTGTATTGAACAGATCTGTATTATAATTCTTTGTTGCAGGATGTGCTGCAAGTAAGCTTAATAATTTGGTTATTCAACTTAGAAAGATCTGTAACCATCCAGATCTCTTGGATTCAGCCTTTGATGGTTCATGTGAGTATCGGGAAATAGAGTGGCTTTACTGATTTCATGATGTTGTAAAATATAATTAGGAGATTTGTTCCGTAATTAGGACAGATTTGATCTGTACATTTTTTTATTTCCTTAATTAGAAGACTATTAGTCTGTATAAATGTATTCTGTGCAGGCTCTTAATAATTAAGCAATTCAAATATTATTCAAATAATATTCTGTTCCTTTTCTCAAGTTGGTATCAGAGGTCTCGATCTAGAGGGCTTTGCTTCCACATCTTCTAGGCAGCTTCATTGCTGCGAATCTGCTCACTTTTAGCATCGTCTGCCGCTGTCTGCCACTGACCACTGCGGACCCAACCGGAAAACACACCAGGAGGGGCGCTTCTTCAAGGTCGACCTATCCCCAAAATTTTGCTGCCAATTGCCGGTTCTGTCTCCGGCACGTGTACGTCACGCGCCGCTTCCCAGCCACACATCTTAATACGGCCTTTTAAGTACTGTTAGGAGATTTTAGCTTAAGTAGTTACTGTTCACTAGACTTATGTTTCTGCATTTTATCATTCTTCCAATGTCTCAAGACAAGACAGCCCCTGTCCTAAGTACCAATGATCTACAGGTTATGCAAGGTTCTTATTGCCTTGATGGGCGAAATTATTTACAGTGGACTCAGTTGATTTGCACAACGCTCAAGGGACAAAAGAAGTTGAGTCACGTTGAAGGAGACCCTCCAGTCAAAATGGATCCAAAATATGAAGTTTGGGATGATGAAGACTCTCTGATCATGACCTTGGAAAGACTTATTTTATGAAAAAGGATACTGCAGCGTGTTATGAAATAGCAAGTAAGATCTTTAAAATATTTATAGATTGATATATTGAATAATATAATTTTTATTGGCGTACTGAAAAATATTTATACCATTCCACACGTAAGTTAATTAACAGGAAATTATTACTTAATTCATAGTTTTGAGTTTGAATTCAGATAAATATAATTATATTAAATATTCATTGATTATTATAATAAAAAAGTAAAGTTGACATTTTTTTATTATTAATTTTAATTATCCCATATAAGATATTTAGTGATTTAGTCAGATAAATTAACTCAAAATTAAATAGTCATTAATGTAATATATGTAGATATATGTGATGTGATTTAAACAAAATTTACATTAAAAAAATGAAAATTTATGAAGAAGAAAATTATATAACCACAAATTCATTTATTTAACTTCTTGTCCCTCTCACTGTCAACCAAGTAACGTATGTGTTAAATTCTCATATTTTTTACAAAGTAAATAAATTAAATTAACATTTCTTTAAAACTAACAAATCAAAATATCAAATTTGACTCAAAATAAAAAAAAATTCAAAATTTTCTCTCTTGGTATCCTAATCTTATATTTTATAAAATTATTTAAATTTTATTAAATTTACACTAAATTTATTACTTTTGAGATATAAAATTATCTCATATTAATTCTGTTAAAACTAAAAGACTAAAAATATAATTAAATCTAATATAAAATTGAAAATCTATATGATTATGTTTTGAAATAAAAAGAAACAATTTTAAAATTAGTAAATTAATTTATGACATATACAATAGTAGTATATATTATGAATGAAGATAAAAAAGGAAATAATTTTAATATTTTTTTTAAATATCAACATTTTATTAAAATAAATTTAGAGTTTAAAGATATTTTAACAAGTTACAATTTTGAAAAGAATTAATAATATATGTTAATAATTAATTAATCTAATTCATATAAACAATCGATTTTTTTAAGAACTCGTTGCAAGATACTTAAAAAAATAATATTTAATAAAATAAAATATTTTATTAACATTTAATATATTATTATTAAAAAAATATTATTTTACTAAAGATAAATTATTTATACCGTAAAATATAACATTACAACTCTTCTCTATTTAATATAATTTGTAGTAGCATAAAGAATTTGATTTCAGAATAATAATATTATTTTTGATAAAGTATATTAAATATTAATAAAATATTTAATTAATATTATTTTTTAAAAATTTAATCGTACGTGTAAATTAAATTAATAATATTTTAATATATTTTTTTAATTTTTTTAAAAACTAATAAATTAAAATAATTATACTTATATTTTATCTTTAATAAAATATTGATACTTAAAAAAAATTATAAAAAACAACCTCCATTCAAATAGGTGGAAATTTGGGGCAGAAGGAAGGGGCTGTTTGAAAATTGCTATTTTTTATGCGAAAATAAGAATCGCACGCTTGGACAGCATGAACTTGCATTTTGAAGAAGAATCCCAATTCCCAATTCCTAATTCCCAATTGGAATGAGAAAAAACTGTAAATAGACTCATTGTATGGCTACACTCTCGTCTACTCTCAACTGTTGGATTCCTCACACCACATATTCTTCTTCCTTCACCACTCTCCCTCACAGTTAGTTCATACTTTCCTCACCCGCTTCTGCAATTTTTTATTCAATTCTATTTTATGTATTTCCATTTACTCAAATTAGTTAGAATACATGAAGAGAAAGCTCAATCAGTTTGTTTTAAAAATGTGAAGTTCATTAAATCCTTGTAGATTCAGTTTCAATTACGTACAATAAACTAACCGTGATTGTGTTAATGTGGTTATGTCATGTACTGGATATAATTTCACTGTTATTTTCAATGCTCGTCAGCTGTTACCGCCCAAAACATCCCACTTCATAGTTTGATTCATGCTTCCCTCATTCTTTTGATAAAAATGTTTAATTTATGCACAAGGTAAGTGGGTCTGCACCATCGTTGTTTACGCTTTAAGTCCATCTTGCGTGCTGGGGTGCGTTAGAGATGTTATATAAAACACCATTCACGAACCTTCACTTAATAGCTTAAACTTTTGGGATAATTGGTACATCTGAGTTTTGCTTTTTCTCATAGGGAGTAGATATAGCACATGTTCTTTTGCCAAGAAGACTTTGAACAAATCCGGAAGAGATGAACCAGAAGCATTCAGAGATCTCTCAGATGATAAATTTGTTCAAAATGACAAGTTGGACACTTCTCTTAATCCAATTGCCCACAATTCTAACCCCATACCTTCGAGGAGTGCTGTGCTTCGAGCTTGCACAATAACTTCTGCTCTCATAGCTGCTTTCGGAATAGTGATTCGGCAGGTGCTCTTCCTTTTTGGCATTGCTAGATCAGTTTCCCCATTTGTCACTTTTTCCCAAGTTTGTCGTCTATCTTAATGATATAAATATGATTTTTCATATGAAGCTTAGCTATATTTTATTCAGCCATCATAAAGATATTTTCAGTCCGATCTTCAATTCCTTACACACATTTGTTGGGAGAGGTTAAATTGAGATTGAAAGTTCTAATCTTTAAACTGAGTTATTAGTTGCAGTCAATTTTTAGTTTTCTTCAAGACAAGAGAGTTCTTAAATTTATCACAATTTGATTGAAGATGGTTAGCTGTGGAAGTTCCTATAACATGGGATATCATGTCTATTTTGTGCCTTGTTTTGTTTTTACAACTTGCAGGTGTCTCATGTTGCATCAGTGGAAGGATTACCAATCTTGGACTGCTCTACAGAAGTATCATGTATGTACTTATATTTACTTCTTAGTTTTAGTTTGTGGTTCAGACTTCAATGGATTATCCTTTACCTGAAGGGATTTTTATATAAAAAGATAAAGAACAATTTTTGGACTCTTAATTGCATAAAATAACTGTTCTCGTCAGGGAATGTGCTTTTACCTTAGACCAGTACTGACGTTTGTGAAACGCTGAAATGCGTATGGCAATGTTGGATATTCAAGTGTATCTTGCGTGAGAATTATTAAACCAGGGGGTTTGATCATTTGGATTTTGTTTTATCACAAGGCATGAAAGTACAACCTTCCCTTTATATTTTCATATATTTGGAGCAATGCTACTTGTGTTCGGATCTATTTATTGTGACATTTTCAATTTCATGAATACTGACATGAAACCATATTACCTCAATTCTTCTAATGGAACTTTTAAGGCCTAATATACATTGACTTCCAGAGGATCTATTCATGAATAGGGACTTTTGGTTATGCTTTTTATCAAGTGCCTGAAGTGAATATAAATGTGCGTGTTTCTTGGTAAATGTTTTGTGAATGTGTTATAATGTGTTAAGTATCTTAAGATTTTTCTTTCTTTTCTTTTGGCTTCAGTTGGTTTCGAAATGTGGCATCTTGAGTTGATTGCAGGACTTGTGATATTAATATCACCATGTCGCTATTTACTATTGAAGACATGGACAGATTTTGCTGAGTCTAGTGAAGCAGCCAATGAGCAGGTAACTGAATCAAGCCATGACTCTGGAAATGTACTTTATGATTTTGGCTGTATTGGTACATGGATGCCTTGCTGAACTCTGGAAATATTTTGCTTTCTGAATCAGGTCCTTAGCTCACTTCAACCTTTGGATTATATTGTTGTTGCATTTCTGCCTGGTATTAGTGAGGTTAAAAGAGAGCTACTCTCCTTGGCTTATTTTATCTTTGTTGCTTATTTTTCATCATTTCATTCATTTGCCTGATATGGCATGTTATGTTACCATCTCAAATTTCAGGAATTACTTTTCCGAGGTGCTATTCTTCCACTTTTGGGAATGAACTGGAACAGTGTTGGGGTGGCTGCCTTGATCTTTGGCATTTTGCACCTAGGCAATGGTCGGAAGTATTCCTTTGCCATCTGGTGCGTATCTTTCTCATTTCTTACCCTGCCTCCCTCTTGTTGAGAATTGTATGGTTGATTTTGATGAACCTCCTGGACATCCCCATTTAGGCATTTCCTCTAGATCACATCTATTTTCCATTTATTAAATTAGAATAAGATTCTGTGTGTTCCAGGGCAACCTTCGTTGGTCTTGTTTATGGATATGCTGCAATTTTATCCTCTAGCGTTGTGGTTCCCATGGCTTCCCATGCATTGAACAACCTGATTGGAGGGCTTTTATGGCGGTATACATCAGATACCCCAAAGCGGAAATTAAATGAGTGATCTCCATTCACGGATGCATCCATATCTATCCATTAGTTGTACATATGTGTAACAATTGTGACACACAAATCATACAGAGGCGAATCCAAGTTTGTTTGCAAATGCAGCAACTAATGGCAGCTGTGTTGTCTCCCCCATTTTCTAAGGAAATGTTCAAGTTCTTATATTACAGATTATCCATCTATGCCTCTGTAAATATGCATTTACAATTAAGATTTAAAATGACTAAAATGACATATAAATTAAGTTTAACGGTTGTATTTTATATATATACTAGTAAATATGCCCGTGCGTTGCGCGAGTTTGTTTTATTTTTATTAAATTAATTTATTTTAAAATATAAAATATATAATTTAAATATAAAAATATAATAAAAAAATTATTATATTAAATATAATTACATTGAGGAAGATTATGAAATACTTCCTTATATACAATATTTTTTGTATATCCTATATATTTGTCATCCTCTTCAATAATAAGAATTTTTATTCCTTTTGCTGACGTTACTTTAGACAATACAACATATAATTGACCATGACTAAATACAGGTTTTAACAAATATAATCTAACATAATTTAACGATTGTCTTTGACTTTTGTTTATTGTCATTGCATAACATACCTTTATTGGAAATTGTTTTTTTCTTAAAAGGAGAGGTCACTTGGAGTCACTTGCTGTTAAAATTATCTGCGAAATAAGTATTTTAGCACCAATGTTGCTTCCTGTAATTATTTTTGCTTCAATTATCCACTCTCCTAAACGTATGATAAGGAGTCTTGTTCCATTACACATTCCTAATGCAGGATTGATGTTTCTAAGTAGCATAATTGACATTCCTTCTTTGAGTTGCAAGCAATGGAGAGGAAATCCATTGAAATTTAAAGTATTCAAGAATTCTACGGGATACATAAGCTCTTGCTCAGTTATTTTATCAGTTGCTTTGTAATCTCGTCAGAGCTTCTGTAATACTTTATTGATCCTTCAACCATGTTTATGATATAATTATTAATATCATCAACAATATCATTTAAAGGAGTAAGTATGACCCTCTCTTGAAGATATTTTTCATCCCGCATTTGTTGTTGAAAATTTGGATATGTGCTTTCAAAAATTTGCTTGAGTGAATTCTCCATTGGCTTGAGTAGATATTGGCTTGGAATTTTTATCCACATGAGAATGTCTTCTCCTTCTTTATTAATTGTTGGTATATTTCCATCTTCAACTTGTATGAGTCATTTATTAAATTCATGTGCTAAGGAATTTTCCTTACTTGAAGAGGAGTTGTTGAAAATTCTCATACTTTTGGACAACATATAAATTTTGCAATGATCCCACAAATATGACTTATTAATGCATGTTTTAACTATGTCTTGTCATCGTCCTTTTGGTATTATAGGTAATATTTGTCTAAAGTCTCCTCCAAGAAGTACTGTTTTTCCTCCAAATGGCTTAGACGTATTGTTAGGATATTTATAACTAGCAATGTCTTTGAGGGATCTATCAAGAGCCTCAAAAGTCAATCTATTTATCATTGGTGCTTTATCCCAAACAATGAGATCTGTTTGAATTATTAACTGAGCAAGCTGAATATTTTATTTGATTGAACATGTGCTCTCTTCAAAAAGATCTAATGGTATTTGAAATCTACTGTAAGCTATTCTACCACCCGGAAGCAATAATAATGCAATACCTATAAAATTTTAAAATAAGAATAAATGAGACATAAATAAAATCATGTATATAATAGTTTATGAAAGTATTCGTTAAAATGTAAGAAATATTAATTTTTAATGGATATTTTTATAATTTTTATAACAAACAGAAAATAATTTTGATGATGCTAATACTAAAATTTAGAATTTTTATGTGTGTAATATTAATAAAATAATATTTTTGTTTTATTTTATTTAATAAAAGAATATTTTATAAGTTTTATAGATAATGTATTTTTTTTATTGTAAGTATTAATGAAAAATTTAATTTATATTAATATAATAAAGCGAAAAATTTGATTTGAAATTTTTATATTTGTAAATTTTAAAATTTGAAAAATAAAAATAAAATACTACATGTGTAAGTACAAAAGTTAATAACAAAAATATATAATTAATATGAGAAATATATAATTAATAAAAATATAAAATCAAGTATAAGGAAGTGGTTAAGTACCCGAAGATGCAACAACAAGTACTATTCTTTTCTCACTCCTTAATTTAGAAATGATAGTCTTGTAAAGAAAAGTTTTTCCAGTTCCTCCGTGGCCATACACAAAATAAAGTCCACCTACATTAGCAGAGACCCTCATTAGTAACTTCATTGTATATTTGTCTTTGTTGGTCATTGAGTAATGGGTAACATTTCTTGTGTTCCAATTTCAACTCTTCAAATTATAATCAAGTTCCTCTCTAATCAGTCTATTGTCCATCACTTCTACTGCTGATTTATCGGGTAAAGGCATTCCATTGAAGTTGAAGAGAACTTTTCCATTTCTCATCAATATCTTGTCAATTTCAATCAAACAATAAGTTTGGATCTGTTGTTCTGTGAATTCTAAACCAAAATGATGAAATAACCTTATTTTTTTATAAAGAATATCATTAGATAGTGTTTGCCAATTGTTATCCCATAGTTTCTTAACATTTGTAACATCACCAAAAAGAATAATTGTAACAAATAATTCTCTTAACTGAGAAGGTAAGGCCCAATGACTTGCTTCATTCAATGCAATTCCACTCTTTATTATCATTTAGAAGGCCAAGAGCATAGCATGCTTCTTTGAAAGTTTTATGTGTCACTCCACCAACTGTCTTGATTTCTTCGTAACTTTTTGATCCTTGAACAATATTTAACAAAATTCTTAAGTAATATCTTTCACCAGATGTTGGATGAGTATAATAAATCTTCCAATTGTTTTTCCAGTCTGCCTTTGTTTCCATTTTTTGTTTCTATCATCCCAAACAAATTTTGTAGGAAAGCCAGAATATGTTAGCATGCATGCTTTACAATTTATAGAATTCATTTTTATTCATTCTGTAAACATGGTTTGTTCTATTCCTTCTCTTCATATAATTGTTGGCAAATGTTCTGAATCTTGTAGAGTAACTAAATTTTCTCCTGGTAAATGGAAGATCAATCTCATAACAGTTGGGTTTCTATAATGTATGTCAAAGTTAAAAATTCTCCAACTTACTTCATATGTTGACACATATCTGAAATATGAGCAATAATTATAATATTTATAAATTCATAAAAGTCTGAGTATATAAAAAAGAAAAATATGTTCAATATTATTTAAAAAAAAAAAAAAAGAATACAACACTTAATATCAAAGTCAATATAAAATTTAATTAATAAAATTGACTAAAAATTTATACGTATAACAACTACTATTATTTATTTAGTAATACTTATTTATAAAAATTATATATAATTTTGTACACTTAATAAATATACAATAAGCAATAAATATATAGTTTAATATAATATTATTTAATTATAATTATAGAATATTGTTTAATTATAATTATAGAATATTATTTTTATATATATAAAATATTAGTAATTATTTATTAAATTGTCATTCGTAATAGTTTGTTATTACCATTATTAAGATTATATAAGTATAAATTCTAATAAATTTTCTTTAAATATAGTTCAAAAATAATAAATATGAATCAATTATAATTTTAATTGTTACGTTATGTAAAATATTATAAATAATTTTAATAAATTGTAATCTAATGTAATTTATAGCAAATTTGTTTATGTAATATATTCTATAGTGAATTTAAATATTTTAAATCTTAATAATTATAAATTTATTATAAATACCTAAAAAAATATATAAATTTATGGTATTAGAGAAATTAGCATAAAAAAGAATATATAATGATTTTAACTAAATGGTTAATTAAATTAATTTATTTATAAAATTACATACTTGCTGTCTAAATAAGCTTTGATCTCATCAACTTGTGTTATTTGCATTGAATTGTTTGTATTTTGGACAAAAATATTTTTTTCAAACTACATTTCATGAAAGTAATTTTTTCATAATAATTTTTTATGAAAAATATAATTTAACAATCTATAATAAAAATAATAATCTTATAAGTGCAATTTTTTATTTTGATATTAATTATAAAAAAATAATTCTTGTGACATTACTCAATACTTATTTTTTTTAAGCATTCATTTATTTTTGAACTAATTAAGTATTTTCTATTACAATAAAAGAATATTCTAATATAATATAACTATCAATTCTAATAAAACATTAAAATAAAAGAAACATATGAAAGATAGAATATGTTAAACTAATTAATAAAACAATTTAAATATACAAATTTGTATTTTATTATAAATTTAATTTAACAACATATATTATAAACTAATAATTTTGTAAGTTAATTTTTTTAATTAAAAATATATTTTAGTGTTAGAAGTACATAATAAAATATAGATTATATTAAAATACAATAATAATTTTAATTCATAAATTATGAAAAATATAGATTATATTAAAATACATAATAAAATATATATTAAATTATAAATTATTTTAAACTTATAAATCGGATATAATTTTAAATCATAAATTATAAAAATATTATAATTATTTTTAATAAATGATAATTTAAAGCAATTTATAGTCATTCTTATTAGAAATAATTAGAAATTTGATCTAACAATCTATAATAAAAGCAATTTTTTTATAAATGTATTTTTTTTTAATTCAAACTACATTTCATAAAAGTAATTTTGTCATAAATTTTTTTTATTAAAAATGTAATTTAACAATCTATAATAAAAGTAATAATCTTATAAGTGTAATTTTTTATTTTGACATTATTTATTAAAAAAATAATTTTTGTGACATTACTCAATAATTATTTTTTTTAAAGCATTCATTCATTTTTGAACTAATTGAGTATTTTCTATTACAATAAAAGAATATTTTAATATAATATAACTATCAATTCTAATAAAACATTAAAATAAGAGAAACATATGAAATATAGATTATGTTAAACTAATTAATAAGACAATTCAAATATATAAATTTGTCTTTTAAGATGACAATAGAAAGGATGGTGAGCAAGTTTTTAAAAGTTGTGTAAACAACTAAACATGACTTATATAAATAAAGACTAAGTCATACTTAGAGATATATGAAAAGTCATAAAATTAATAAATAATATAATAAAATTTATCTTTTCATCTGTATAATAGTTAATAATAAAATATAATATATAATAAAATTTCTAATAAATTACTTTTATTATATAAATTTTTTGTTAGAAATTTAAGTTAACAATTTTTTTACTTCAAAGTAAATTTTAGTTTTTGAAATATATATTGAACTACATATTATATTAAACTAATTAAATAGATAATTTAAATATGTAAACTTATCTTTTCATTAGAAATTTGATCTAACAATCTATAATAAAAGTAATTTTTTATAAATGTGTTTTTTTTAATTCAAACTACATTTCATAAAAGTAATTTTTTCATAAATTTTTTATTAAAAATATAATTTAACAATCTACAATAAAAATAATAATCTTATAAGTGTAATTTTTTATTTTGATATTATTTATAAAAAAATAATTTTGTGACATTACTCAACAATTATTATTTTTTAAGTATTCATTCATTTTTGAGCTAATTGAATATTTTCTATTACAATAAAAGAATATTCTAATATAATATAACTATCAATTCTAATAAAACATTAAAATAAGAGAAACATATGAAATATAGATTATGTTAAACTAATTAATAGAACAATTTAAATATACAAATTTATCTTTTATTATAAATTTAATTTAACAAAAAATATTATAAATTAATTATTTTGTAAGTTTAATTTTTTAATTCAAAATATATTTTAGTGTTAGAAGTACATAATAAAATATAGATTATATTAAAATACAATAATAATTTTAATTCGTAAATTATAAAAAATATTATAATTAATTTTAACAACGGTAATTTAAGTTAATTTATAGTATAAATATTTATGTTGCCGTTTGTAACATAATATAACCATGAATACTAATAAAACTAATAAATATTATTTAAATACAATTCAAACATAATAAGTGTGAATAAAATATAATTTTAATTCATAAATTATACGTTTTAAGTTTTAATGTACAGAGTAATAAGTAAGTGGAGTCAATGCGAACGACTTTATATATTTTAAATTTTAATGTGTAGAGTAATAAGTAGATAAAGTTACGTTATAAAATTTAATACACTCAGTAATGGTGTAGTCAATTTTACACACACACACATATATATATATATATATATATATATATATATATATAAGCTATTTCAAAAATTAATCAAAAGTTTTTAATTTTTTTAATCTTTCTTTCGTATTAAAAAAATATTTAATAATTATTTTATATTTAAATTATATTTTTAAATTAAATTAACTAATAAAAAATATAAATATATTCGTGCACTAATATATTTACTAGTTTCTGTTGTAATTGTGTGAAAACCTGTCATGTAATTTATTTACCATAAATAGGTATCTTGGGTTTGTAAATACTTTGTAATGCGGTCACTTGGCTTGCTTGTTTCGTATTTGAATTTGTTAGTCTCCCATATTTGGAATATGGCCTCGTTGGCTTGGGACTCAACATTGGTTTCTGTTAACCTTTGAAGGAATATTCCCCTAAAAATAAAATGGAAAATGAAGAGGCAACCAAATCACCCGCGTTTTGGACGAGTGTGACACGCATGATGGTAAGACCCAACAACTAGCTTGGCTTGCGCCTCGTTTCATTTTCCTCACCCCTTTATAAAATGTTGCAATTCCCAACCTGTTCCTTAATCATTCAATTCATTTCAATATCTTCCCATCCTTCCATTTTTCTATCTCTTCTCCTCTGTTGTCTATTCCTTTTCCCCAGAAATTTGGGTAACCTCCAAATATCACAAAGCTCAAATCTTTATGGCTTCGGTAAGATCATCTTACCATTTCAGATGCAATAATACCGAGATTTTCAATGATTCTTTATGATAATAAGCAAAAGGGTCTTTTTTATTTTCATTTTTGTGAATAATTTATCTGTTTTTATATATATATATATACATACATACATATAAACGATTATATTTGCTTGTGCAGTATGAACAACAAGGAAGGCCACTACCCAAGTTCGGGGAATGGGATGTGAATGATCCTGCTTCAGCTGAAGGATTCACTGTTATATTCAACAAGGCCAGAGATGAGAAAAAAACTGGTGGAGGAGCATCGCAGCGTATTACATCACAGCGAAGAAATGGTTCCCGCAAGGATGACGATAAATCTGGCAAGGTACATGTCAATTGGTGATCTTAATATATTCCTTTTTCAACACAATAATAATAATATTTCTCTACAAAGATGTTGAATAGCTAATACTATGCTTATGTTTTGGGGTGCAGAAAAAGTGGCTTTGCTTTAAACCTTAGACATAAATAAGGTTGTTTTATCTGCTGCTTGGGATGATTATCATGATTCTCCACTTTTCTTCTAAGGCTAATTTGTCGCCAGACCACGGATTAGAGAAAAAGGAAAAAAGAGAGAGAGAGAGAGAGAGAGAAAATAGTTGCAGCCTGAGCCATTATCATTGTAGGTTGTAGTTGTTCACTGTTTTCCTATTGCCACCTAATACATTTCATGGATCTAGCTACTTGTACGCACCGGTCAGAAGTAATATGTAAATAGGTGAATCAATAAACTACCTTTTGCAATTACACAAAGGGGATGTGTTGGTTCTTATTACTTTCATGATATTGATGTGCTCAACATGGCAATTTTTTGTCTATAGTTATTTCAGCTTATGCCATCTTTCAAGAGGCTTCTTCTACTTAAATATGATGATTACGACCGGGATGATTCTTGTTGAATGAAGACAAAGCGAGGCTCTTTACTCCAGCAGCATATTGGTGACCACGTTTGGGTGAAACTGATGATGATATGTATTGAATATATATTTTATGTATAATAATACTATAATATTAACGAATAACTTGATACAAAGCGCTGTTCTTAAATAACGCAAGACATGGACTTTATTTAGAGCCGAGAGTGGAACACTACTTATTTCTTATTCGTTTCATATTCAACTTTTGGCACTGGAAATTGAAAATCAATATTTAAGCTGCTAGGAAGGTTATTGGTGAGGGGTTTAGAATTAATTAGGGCATTGTTATTGTTAAAAGACATTTCCTTTTGACACTGCTTTGTCAATATAAAAAATTCCAATCAAATAGGCTCATGAAAATTGATGATTCTCAACTTAATCCTAACCTCTCTTTGAAGAATAAATTGATTTATATTCTAAAATGTACTACACCTAAAGAGTCGATCAAATCCTAAAAACAAAATCAGTCATTCATTTTTTGGTCTAATCGGGCATTCTATGTAACTGATTAGGCAATGGCCTACATCACTTTGTCGAGTTGGCCCCCTTGAATGTCACTTAGATATGAAACATAAATAATTGAAGCCATTAATTTGTAAGATTTGTAGTTGGGTTCTTTATTAATTTTCACCTATAGGTTTAAGTTTACATAATAGATTCCTCCATAATCATAAATAATAGATAATAGAATACACTAGGTGACGTGTACAGCGATTTTTATTTTTTTATTTAATTTAAGTGTGTTTTGTCACTGCCAATATGAAGTACATACGAAAGAGTAATAAAATAGTTTATCATGTCATAAAAATCACTTCAAATTAATAATCCTTTTCATTTTGTTTTAAGTTATTTTAAAATGAACCCCCCAATCTTGTCTAAAAGCTGCAAATGATGTATTGAGAAATGATTATTTCACATCTAATAAAGAAGTATAAAGTGAGCAGAAGGATAAGAGACATGGAAAAATAATAATAAATAATTTGATAAAAAATAAAATATATATACAAAAATAAAGTAAGTGTAAAATAATAACAATACAAACTGAATTTAATTAGCATATAGTAAAGTTGGGCAGTAACAGGAGCTGGCAGTAGATAACAATATTATGATGTCATTCCTTGTGACACAATCACTAATAGGATTTTTAATTGACATCAAATTCACTCGATTCCTTTTAGCACAGTGTTCTAATTTTTGCATTAAAACATAGTTTAATGTAAATTTGTGAATTTTCTAAACATGCACTGCGTTTCATTAGCTACATGGATCTACAACACCCGTCTGGGATCTAAGAAAGACATTATAGTAAGACATGGGTCATTAGTTTGAGTCCCCAAACCACACAGACACAGGGAAAGTTTTCACCAACCAGTTGACACTAAGCTTGAAACAGTTGCAGGCGAAATCCAAGCGAAAAACTGTAATATAATATAGAAATCATTCAGATGGACCACATTGTATCTCCAAAGGACCACCAAAGTAATTATGAAAAGCTGTTTTGGCAGAGGGAAAGGGGTGTGATAGATTGTTAATACGAGGAATGCAACCGACACACTTTTTAACATTTTTTTTTTAATTTAACATTTTTTATATTTTTATAATTTTTAATTAAAAATAACGTGTTAAAAAAATATACTAACAAAATCATTGCCTCGAGTGTACTTGTAATTTATGCTTACACAGATTACTTGTAATAAGTTGTGTTTTTATTCATCAAATAAGTTTAAATTAAAATAATCACCTGCAAAATTTTCACATATATGAAAGGTTGGAATATTATATATATTAAAAATTTTAAGTTATCAAATAAGTTTCTCACATAACAGATTAATAAATTATTTTATTAAGTTATAATTAAAACAAATTAATTTTTTATATATTTCAATATTTAAACAACTTAGCGTTATAAATATTTAACAAACTAAATCAACGATAATTATATTTTTTGAAGGACTAAACAATAATATTATTTAATTTACGAATCTTATTTAAGTGTTTCGTGTTTTTATGTTACAATACTCACTTAATATATATAATTAACAAAATAAATTATATCAATGGCTGATTTTCTTTATTTTAGACCAACAAAGCATTTCATTAGACCGCGACATCTTTTACTATATATAAAAAGTTGTTATTTAATTGACATGCATTGCAAAATCTAACTTGAGACGTCATTATCAGTGCTAGGTGTATAGTTGCGGGTTTTCTTTTTCTTTTCTTTTCAATTTTGTACTTACAATATCTTAAGTTGTCATCAATGAATTTACTTTTAATCCTTAGAAATATTCAGATACATGTTGCAGCTCGTGATACCATGTTAAATTTACAGAAGAGAAGAGAGGTGCCGGCAACTAGTTCACCATATATATGCCAGAGGGACCAGCTACGATAGAAAAGCATAAAATGTGCAAAAAGAATTAATCAAAGATACAACCATTCTTACCCAACCAAAAAACTGAAAAAATGTTAATCAAGAATTCAAGATCCAAGACTGATCAAGGAAGTGTGTTAGGATACACTGGTCTAAGACGAAATAAATAGAAAGAAAAATAATACGATCATGCAAAGTCGATTATTAGGACAACTTCAATCATTAATTGATTCACGGTCTAGTCCCATTATGCCAACTTCATCACCCCACTCTGACAAATACTAACATTTAAATAATAATAACAATACTTAATTATTATTAAAAAATAACAAATATAAATTACGAAATCATTTTTCAAAAGTTATATAATTGGTAGATAACTATTATTTTAATCATGAATATCTATTATATAGTCTCTCTAATAGACAACACTACAAATGAAGTTTATCATAGAAGAACTTGTTTAATAATAAGGACATTGGTAAGAAAGAAGATTAGGTGTGGGGGGAATTATGGTCTGTTAGGTGGAGGAATCAGTGTTGGTGCGATATTCATTAATTAAAATTCTCAACTTCCGGTAACGTGCATGTGCTTGTGGGTGAAGACACCTGTCACAAAATTTAAATGGAGGCACGGTTTTGCTCACTCAAAATAGGGAGACACGAATGCAAAGCTTAGACGCAAAACTAAGGAAATAGAAATGCTTTTCCAGACAGTTATAGCCTCCTGCAGCAGCAGCATCACTGTTCACGAGTACCTGCACTTGGCAGCACTTCTCATCACATGCCTCGGTTTCATCGTCACTGTCAACCACCTCACCTCGCTCTTAATACGCATCTTCAACGCGTGTTTCAGATCCCCCAAGGACCTCCGCAGAAGCTACGGTTCATGGGCCCTCGTCACCGGATCCACCGACGGAATTGGTAAAGCCTTCGCCGTCCAGCTGGCACGGCGAGGCCTCAACCTCGTTCTCGTCAGTAGAAGTTCCCAGAAGCTGGAAGAACTTGCTCGTGAAATCCAAAGAGAACATCCCGGTAGTCTGGTGAAGATTATTGAGATGGATTTCACGGGCGATTTGTCGGAGGGACTCCGGCGAATAGAAGAGGTGAGTAAGGGTTTGGATATGGGGATTTTGATAAACAATGTGGGGATCACGTACCCGAGAGCCACGTTCTTTGACGAAGTGGAGGAGAAGGTGTGGATGAACATTGTGAGAGTCAACATCGAAGGGACCACCAGAGTAACCAAAGCGGTTTTGCCTGCCATGTTACGGAGGAAAAAGGGTGCCATTGTTAATATTGGTTCCGGTGCTGCCGTCGTTGTCCCTTCCCATCCTCTCTTTACTATCTACGCTGCTACCAAGGCGTAAGCTCTCTCACCCTTCTTCTACGATAACCTCTCATGTCACACTTTTACACACTATTTCAGCTATTTTAACCATAATTTTACTTTAAAAATTAATGCAGTTTTTAATATTTTAAAAAATATAACTTTCAGAATTTTTATCTAAAACATCTATTTTTAGACAAAAATCAAAACACACTTTTTTTTTTTAATATTATCATGTTTATTTCTAAAACAGAGATTTTGTCTTCAATAAAATAAACAATATATATTGTTATCTCATTTTTTTTCACTTGCTAATAATAATAATAATTTTGAAAAATAATATATCTTCATATACAAGGTCAATATTTTTATTAATTTATTATTTTTATTATGAAAATAAGAATGATAAAGAAACGGTTAATTTGGATCTTCTTTCGTGGTCGGTAATGAAAACTAAATGAATATTTGACAAGGAGAAAATGTAGTTAAATTTCTAACGTATATCTTTATCACCAAATTATCAAATGAAATAATGAAATATAAATATTTTCAAATTGTGAATAATCCATAAGTTATGAAAAATAAAAATTTTGTTTACATGTTAATAAACTAATGAACTTAAGCCGTCATTTGGAAAGCATGATTAGAGAAAGAGAGATGTCACAGAAATAAAACATACATCTCCCCAACAAGTTCTCTCTAATTTTCAAAGTTGTGAGTCTTACATTAATTTATTTCCTTTGATGTTGGAATAATGAAGAAATGACCCGTGTCTGTTTCGTCAGTTGGAAAGGAAAGTGATTTTTATATGTGCTTAATTATACTCATCTTTTCGAAAGTGATTTTTTAACGATGGAACATGCAGTTACGTGGATCAGTTATCAAGATCTCTGTACGTGGAGTATAGACAGTATGGGATCCACGTGCAGTGTCAGGTAGTTACAATCCGTAGTTATACTTATGTTTTTTCAATTATTATGATTAACTGTGTTTTTGGAGATGATGAATGTAGATACCACTGTACGTTGCAACGAATATGGTGTCAAGGGTAGCATCTATTGAGACAGATTCTTTGTTCATACCAACACCTGAGGCTTATGCAAGAGCTGCAATTCGTAAAATTGGATACGAACCAAAGTGCACACCTTATTGGGCTCACTCGGTTCAGTGGTTCTTCGCACGCTTAATCCCTGACCCACTACTTGATGCTTGGCGCTTGTCCATTGGTTTGCAACGGAGAAAGGGAGACATGGCTTTGCTTAATTGTCCTCTATCATGCACTTAGACCTTATATTATTTTAATGCTTGGATCAACTTTCAAGACTTTTGTTTATATTTAAGAAATTGTACGCACAAGCAGGCAACTCTTTCCTCTGTAGAACCCACTTAATATAACTGATTAAGATGCTCTTAGATCACATTAATTAATTTAGATAGCTCAAACTCCCAATTCATAGATTCGTTTATAAATTGAGCTCCTTCGTAAATATTGTCTAATTTTGCACCAAGTTTTGGGAAAGTAATATTAATCATTTTTTATAGACATAATTTACATTTATTTTCTATCAGAATTATAATATATATTTAGGACTTTATATTAGTAAATTTTCTGTGTACTACATAAATATTATTAAATCAATATTTTATCTAAAACTATATTTCGTGAATTTTTAAATTTAATAAAATTTCAAAAATTAAATATTATATTAAAACTCACTATTGCATATAATAAAACATAAAAAACAAATAAAAATATTATTTAAAGAAAGAGTTCCACTCTTATTTATGTCAAGAAAAAAAAAAACATAGTTTACCAAAGAAACAAGAATATGGCATTCCGTATGCAAGAAGGAATGAATTAATAAAATTTCGTACTTCCCAAAATTAAAATTCACAAATACATAATACCTATCTCAGCACATACTTAATTAAACTAAAATAAATTTTTTGAATAAAAGAATTCAAACATATTACATGACTATTTTTAAAATTAGAAAAATTTTAAATTTATTATTAATAATAAATATTTTATTATACTATATAAAAATATTAAATATTAATGCAAGAGTAATGAAACAAAAAAAAGAATAATATTTAAGATAACTCTTAAAAATATTTTTATTTAATAAAAAAAACTCTAATATTTTTAATTCTACAATTATTTTCATTTTTCTTTCTTTTATTTGTCATAATTTTATCTTATCTCTCCTTTTTTTTATTCTTTCACTTTCCATCTGTTTAACATCCCATTTAACGACAGGAAATAATAATTTTTTCTTAATAAAAAAGAGGGGGAAGTAAACGGTGGTTATCACCAGCAGGTTCTAATTGTGTTCCACAAAGTGTGGACATAATTATCCTTTTTATTGATTTGTCCATTACGTGACACTTAATTTAAATATTGACTATAATAAGAAAAATGCGAACAAATTATTTAATGTATTATTAACGTTGTTTTTAATATAGTAATAAACCATTAGCTTGATCCTAAATATTAGTTAGACTCCCGTAAAAAAAATAGTGGAACTCCAACGATTTCTTCTATCTTTTCTGCCTCTTGCTTTACATTATTTCTTGCTGTTCATATTCGTAGTGTAAGCATGCGTCTACACCCACTACAAAAGAGAAATATGTAATAATACATTAACAGTGCTTAGTAACGTTGGTTCCAGTAATTTAAGAGTAAAAATAATATAAAGTATTAAGGCTTATAGATCGAAGGTATTAACAAAAGATAAAAAATAATAATCATAATGAATAATTCGAGAGAAAATATATAAAAAAAAAATTCGTTTGTAATAATACAAACAATATTTTCCTATAACGAAGAAATGTGCTATCCCATGTTTCGTCACCTAGCCAAATACACAAACACAATGCAGTAAGCAACTTGATGATGGTCATCACCACCAATTCAAAGAAGAAAGTAATGCAGACACTTTAATGAAAAAACAAAAAAGAAATAAAAAGGAAGGAGAGAGAAGGCATTTGATTTAGAATCGGTGACGCGGAGGCTCCACCTTACGGAACGCAACCTCGGTGTCCAATCCAAAACCATCGACGCTGCGAACGTGAACCAAAACAGAATTCTTAAATAACCCGACAAGGGGTTGAACGCTGTAGAGGTCGTTAGCCGAGTACTTATCAGCGCGCCTCCACAGAGCCACGTGCAACACGCACACGCCCTTCGGCTTCAACGTCCGTTCGATCTCCGCCACGAACCGTTCCGGATACAGCGCGTGGTCGAACACATTCGAGAACTCAAAATCAAACGTGCCGTTATCAAACGGTTGGTTATGGAAGTCACCACTAACCACCAAGGGCGGGTAGGGAACCAAGTCCATTCCCACCGAGTCAGCCACCCCGATTCGCCTCAGCGCTTCCACCTCTTGCCCCACGCGTGCACCAATACACAGCGCTTTGGACGTGTTTTCTAGAAGCTTCTTATCCTTAAGGTCCTCGAAGAAGCGTGCGAAAACCGGTATCTTCCGGTCCCAGTCGCGGGTTGTCCATATTTTTCGGAGCCTGGGATTGAGGGTCTTGTTTAGTTGGCGCTGTAAGTAGGCCTCGTAGGAGGAGTAGCCGGGTCGGATTCTGAGGTATTTGGTTGTGGTCGTTATGGTTTTAGAGTTGTGTGCAGAGAATAGGTGAAGGAAGAGGAAGAGGAAGAGAGAGACGAGGAAGCACCTGATTAGGATGAATGATTTCGGGAGCGTGATTTTCATGTCCGCGTGCATATCGCTCATGCTTTAGAATAGATAAACTGAGTATATATATATATATGTTCAAGCTTTTGCTTTCTGTGTCGCATGAGATTGAGATTGAAACGGATGAGGCAGGTGGGAGGGACAACTATGAAAATTTCTGGAAACTTGAAAATTTCAAGGCCAAGAGAGCGAAAAGAAAGCCAAATTACAAAGCAAACAAAATAAATAAGAAAAAGAGGAAAAGGATGATAGATACGCCGTTCACAACTGTGAAATGGCAGGGACCAAAATACTCGTGTGGTGCCTTAAGTGCAGCAATTAATGAGTCAAGATGGCACTGCTTCTTCTGTTTAATCGTTGCTTTTTGTCTGTTCAGAAAATGCTACTGAAACACTTGTTAACATATTTTATGATTAATTAATTTTTAAAAATATTCAAATACTTGTAATTTACCCTTTTTATAAAAAATTCTTTGCTATTTGAAAATTTCAATCAATTGAAAAAATGCTTTACTGGTGTTCCTCTTGTATATTGTGTTAATTTGAAAAACTCACTAGATGAATGTGTGAATTGAATAAAAAAGAAAAGAAAAACGAGAGAGCAAGTAAAGAAGGTGATAGATAATACGATAAAAAAATATAAAAATGTAATAATTATTTCCGAAATATTATTATATTGATTTATGTTGCTACACAGAGTTCAACGGGCAGCAGGGACAGGCAAAAGAAAAATAAAAAGGATTTAAATAAAGTAATGGGTCCAATTAATCCCAGCCAACAAATTGACAAACACTCGGAGCAAAGCCATGATTGTACGCAAGAAATCAAAGTGAAATGAATTGACACAGAAGATCGCGCACAACGATAGATTCTATTTTTTTCACACTTTTTTCTTTTATTCTTTTATATTTTATATTTTTACTTTTTACTTTTACTGTTGCTGTTGATAACACTAAGACAGAGACTGTGAGGACAGCGAACTCGAAGCCAAGGGAGAGGATGAAACTAGATCACGTGCGGTTAAATTTGACTGACCAAAAACTTCGTTATTACTGTTAAGTTACAGAACAACGCAATGGGATGCTCTCCAGGGTGATATTTTCATTACAGAAAGGTGCAGTTTGAATTTAGTATATAAAAATATATTATTTAATTCAATTTAATATAATTTGAATGGATCATGATGTTGGAATATAAGAATGAGAAGTTTAGAGAAGATGAGGAATAAAACTGTGTATATCATTAATTACGTATGATCTACTTTTATGTAACACAATGAATAATAAAAATTAAAAATAAATATTATTACAGATCAAATTAAAAAAAATAAAATCATTATTTTTTATCTGTTAATTCTAATAGCTACATTAACAAACTTTCAAAAATATAATTATCTAAATCTACTTCTTTATCTTCATAATTCTAAGCTTTTCTTTTAATTGGTAAAATTTTTCTCCTTAAAGTGGCTTTGTCAATATGTCAACTTCTTGCACTTCTATCTTACGTTGAATCATATTCAACTTTTTTTTATTGACTTTATCTCTGAGATAATTGTACCTTGTTTTAAAGTGCTTTAACCTCCTATGTTCTACCAGTTATTAGCAAGTAAGGATGGAAACAGGTCAGACCGCCTGACAGGGGCATGTGGCCTGGCCTGGTTTTGGTCTGACCTGGTCTGACCTAGCCTTTTTAATAAACAAACCAAGTTCATGCATTTTTTAAGGCCTGTTTAAGTAAACAAGTAAGGTCTGAGCTGTTTATAAAGCATGTTAAGCCTGACAAGCTGACCTGTATAAAATATATATATATATATATATATATATATATATATATTATAATTTAAAAATAGAGCTATCAAAATATATTTAAATAATAAAGTTATTTAATAATATATTTTTATATTTTTAATTCTGTTATTATTAAATTAATATATTATGTTATAATTTTATTTATTTATAATTATAATAAACAGAAATTATATTATATTAAAAATTAAAAATATTTATACATGATTACACTTTTTCAATAATCAATTTATTTAATAATAAATTATTATATTTAAACAATTTAAAAAATAGTTAAGTCTTTGAATAAGAATAAGACGTAATTAAAACTAAACGAAATAAAATTTAAAAATAAAATAATAAAATTATATTAATATATTTTTTATACTTTTAATTTTATTATTATATTAATATATTATGTTATAATTCTTTTTATTTATAATAAATAGAGATTGCTTAAATCTGAACTATATTTTATTTGAAAGTAAAAATTTATAAAAAAAATAATAACAAAATAAAATAAAAAACTTATTATAATATATATTAATATATATATATATATATATATAAAATCAGACAATGTAACAAATAATATAAATAATATAATTATAAATAAATTATATAATAATATATATTTTCATAACTTGCACATGTTTTAATTAAATTATTAGTCAATTTATCAATTTATATGTAATTTATAAGTATGTGTTTTAATTTATTATATCCGTAATATTATCTATATTACATTAATATTATAGTGTAGTTAATTTTACATTTATTTGTTAATTTAAAATAACAAATTAATGAGACAAATAAAATTAAATATTTTGTAATTATTTTTTTATTTAATAGTTAATATTGTTTTCATTTTATATATATAGTACATTAAGTTTAAATTTTTATATTAAGTTTTATCACATATATTTTAATTAAGATAAAAATTTAGAAATATAAGTTATTTTAATTTAAATATAAATTTTAATAATTCTTCCTATGCTCATATGTTATTTTTCTTCATCTATGAATTTTATAATATAAGTATTTATCATCTACAATTTTTATAATGACGATATTTATTTACTTTTTAAAATATAATAAATTTTTTAGCTGATTCAATAAATTTTATAAGTGTTATTTTTTATAATTATTTTTTTTAATTTAATAGTTATTATTATTGTCATTATATATATATATATATATATATATATATATATATATATTGCAGTAAGTTTCAATTTATTTTTTTGAAAATATATAATTTTATTTTAATTGATTCAACAAACTGTGTAAATGTTATTTTTTTTTTTTTATCAATTTTATGTATTTACTATAACTTTATTTGTTGAATATAAGATGTCTTTAAATAAACAAAATATGTTTCTAAAATAAAACTAAAATATTTACTATTTATATAATTTTAAAAATAAATAAAAAAATATAAATATAAATTTTATTAATATAAAATATTTATAATTAATACTTAAATAATATTTTAAAAATTATTTATAAAATTATATAAATATTATTATAATTATTAAGAACATAGATAGAAATTAGAAAAATGTATCAACTAATTTAATAATAAAATATTTATATTTTCATTAATATTAATTTTTTTTTAACAGGCTTTGTTAACAGGCTTCAGCCCAGGTCAGGCCACTTAAACAGGTCCGGCCAGACCTAAAATAAAGCCTTTAACAGGTAACAGGTCAGACTCAGGCCTAATAATTATGTTACAGGCTAGGCCTGTTTAGAGTAAAGCCTAACCTGACCTGGCCTGTTTCCATCGCTATTAGCAAGGTAAATTGTAGATTTGTTGTCGATATTGAACAACACTGCAACATCAAGCTTGATCTTCAATTCTTCCAACAATGAACTCCAACCATGCTACTTTGACATGCTGCTGAGACAGTAGTAATGTATTCAGACTCATATATTGATAGCCCATCCGATTCCTACTTCTTTGAACTCCACCAAATTGTTGATCCAAACAACTTGACGATGTAACCAGTAGTACTTTTACTATCTTCAATGTCTCCACTCCAATCTGCATCTAAAAAACCAATTAGCTTTACACTTTGATTAGGTTTTGGTCTTGGATACAAAAGCCCATAATCTAGTATTCCTTTAACATATCTCAGAATTCTCTTTGCTGTAGCCATGTGAGATACTCTGGAATTACTCATGTATATGCTTATAATGCCAACACCATATGCTATGCCAGGCCTGCTATGATATAGATATCTCAATATTCCAACTATCTGCTTGTAAAGAGTTGAATCTATTGACCTTTCCCTGAAGCATACTTCTTTCTAGTCAGGGATTAGATGATAGTCATTATAAACAAAGCTTTCAGAGAGAGAAGTTTAGAAAGAACTTATGATATATGAAAACACAAATTTTATTTCAGTTCGATCTGCCTCTAAAGGGCAAGAGTTCATCCATATATAGAGGATGGACAACAGACATAATTATTATAGGGGACAGGTTTGGATGAGAAGCCAACCTTTTACAAAGTGTCTTTGGGCAAGCAAACAAAGAAGAAAACTTTAAGTACATATGAGTCACACTAAAAACCATAATACATAAAGATGCTTTATTACATAAAGTGACTTTTTCAAAGATTCTTCAGTCCTTGCAAATAGGTTCATAGCTTGGAGACAAATTTGGGTCATCATCAGTTTCCCATCCTTCTTGATCCATTACAAATTCGTATCGATCTTGAGAGTCCATTATTGTGTCAACAACATGTGATGACTCAACTTCACCACTAATTATGACATGACTTTCTCTTTCCTAATTTTCAAAAGTAATATTGGAAGAAATCACAGGTGGTTTTACTTGTTGGATTTTATTCCACATATTTTGATCATGAGGATCTGGAGGGCATATAATGTCCATGGATTTTAACTTTGTACATGTGGAATTTACTTTGATCATTTCTTTCTGAGCTCCATTTTCAACATGGAGATGAGTGATTAAACCAGCCTGATGAAATGATAGTCTTTCCAGTTCTGTTATATCCTTTATACTTCCATACGTGTTCCAAAATCTAACTTGATTTTGAGTATAGATTAAATTGGAAACTGGATGTTTGAAATAAGGTCTATGAATAATTACCACGGTAATATTTTTTGGAAACTCAGGAGGAGGTAAATCAATTTCTTTCCAAATGCAGACTCTCTTCATTTCAGTTTGAATGTCTTTCTTCCAATACTGAATAGGTTAGAACCAGGTTAAGAATGTCCATAAAAGAGATGTTTTATGCTGAGGATTATGAAGAAATTCAAACATCTTGAATGTGGGAAAGACTATAGGATAATGAAATAAGAGAGTGACACACCATAAAAGGTCTTCTTTGATCATAGGAAAATCCATTAATAAGGCAAAATTATTCAGGTAAGGAGCATCAGGATGGAACCATAAAGGTTTGGGTATGACACCATGGTTATAAAGAGAAAGGGCTAGGTAATGAAACATATGGTTTCGAGCAAAATCTTTAATGTATTTTATGGTGAGGAAACCAACATTACTGAACTTAGGTGGAAAGATGTGAAGAGGTTGGTGACTAGTGCTTGCTTCAGATATATTAAGTGGGAATATTAATGGATAACTATGTGCAGAGGTAATAATGGAGATAGGCTTTTTTGATCTAGATAATAGGTCAGGGACAATATTTTTTTCTCCTTTTATGTGCTTAACAGTAAAATCATACTTGGAGAACTGATTTTTTAATCTGAGAACCTGAAGATCAGGTGACATCTTATTTTTGAATTCAAGAAGTGCAGGAAAAGCAGAGTTATCCATTTGAACTTCAAAATAATGAACTCTGAGATAGAAGTCAAGTTTTTGGATACCATTTTTTACTGCCAGAGCTTCTTTGTAAGTAGTATGATAATGCTTCTCAGATTATTTGAATTGTCCACTAGCATGTCCACAATATGCTTTCTTTCCATTGATTTCTTCAAGTAAAACAGCTCCCCAATAATGATCACTTGCATTAATTTGTAAGATTCTTTTACCATCTCCAGGAATCTTAAGCGGTGGAGGATTTTGAGCTATCTTTTTAAGGTGACGAACAACTTCAGTCTGTTCAGTGCTCCATGGTGGAGGATTCTTTCTTAGAAGTTTTGACAAAGGACTTGTATATTTGGTTGCATTAGGAATAAAATCCCTAATATAATTCAAAACTCCAAGAAACTGTTGAATCTATTTGATGGTGATGTTCTCATCAGGAAAATTCAAGAGTTCTTCTGCAATGTGAGGTTGAGATTGATAATTTTCTTGAGAAAAGTGCATTCTCAGAAAATCTATCTGGGTTTGAGCTAACTGAATCTTTTTTTCTGACAACATGATCCCATAAGTATTGGCAAGATTAAAGAACTTATCTAGGAAGTTTTTATGAGATTCTGTGTCTTTAGAGAATAATAATACATCATCTATGTAGATGAGTATACTATCAAGGATAGGCTCAAAGATTCTGAGCATAGCTTTTTGAAATAAGGAATGTGCAACCTTCAGACCAAATGGAAGAGCTTTCCATTGGTACTGAGCAGTAGGTATACAGAAAGCAGTTTTGTACCTATCAGTAGGATCAACACCAAGTTGCCAAAATCCAGACTTTAAATCAAATTTGGAAAAGATTATGGCATCTTTGATGAGAGTATGGAGAGAAGAAGTTTTTGGGATAGGGAATTTGTCATCTTTGAGAAAATGATTGAGCGGTTTATAGTTAATTATTAACCTCTTTTTTCTCCCGAGCTTTTAAGATCTCTTCTCAACATAGAATGTCTGGCATGCCCATTCTGATTTTGTTGGTTCAATCAATCCTTGACGAAGGAGTTCATTACATTCTTGTCTAGCCATTTGAAGATCACTTGGACTCATTCCATGATGAATGACTTTAGTAGGATTGATGTCTTCATTGAGTTTGAAGGGAAGCTTTATAAAGAACTCTGAATTGTTCCAAATTGAATTATGATGAGAAAAATTCTCCTGACCATCTGCACATAAATTTTTTAGCTTTTCCTTAATTTCAGAATATTCTTCTAGACTTTCTTCAAGAGAATAAAGTTTCAAGACATCAGTGTAGGGCTTGAAATTTCTTTTGAATTTGATCCCTTTGGGAAGAATCTGAAGCTTTTCAACTAAACAGTATGCATCCATTCTGAGAAGAATATCTTTGTTAGAAAGATGGCTTCTAATGACTTTCATCCAAATTATATAATCTGGGAAAAACTTAATTCCAATGGACATCTTGGAGATTAAGTCTGTTTTGAAGAGCTTTCCATCTGCTGCTACAAAGAAAGTTGGGTTTTTAATCTAGTATTCTTTTGGAAGAATTTCTGGATTCATCATTGTCCTCTGTGCTCCAGTATCCATATAAGCTATGGCTCTTATTGGAGTAGCATATTTGTTGGAGAGAACTTGTACTTCAACACAGGGTTGTGCTGGAGTTTAAGAAACACTGTTTACTTCTTGAGTAAAATAAAGATGAATATACTCTTCTTCTTTGCTTAAAGTTTCTAAAGAATCATTAGATGATTCTTGAATAGCAAAGACTGTATCCTGATATGCTTCTTCTTGTTCTGAATATTCTGATTCAATATCTCCTTCAACAAGGTTTAATGAATTTACCAAGTTCTAAGCTTTGGAATCTTTGTTAGGACAGTTTTTTTGCAGAGTGTCCTTTTTCCCCGCAGATGAAGCATCTTGTGCTCCTATTTTTCCCTCTTCTGCTCTTCTTCTTGAAGAACTTCATCATCTTCATCTTTTTTTTTTTGAAAACTTTCTTATCCTTCCTTTTTCTTTCTTCATGGGTAGACAAACACATTTTTTGTCTTTACATCCAATTTCTTTTTGCAAGCTTTGGTAAACTTGGATCTCTCATTCATCACATCAGAAATAAATAGATGTGTCCCGCAGAGTTTGTCAAGAGATTCTTATATCTTCTGATGAATTTGACCAAGGCTCAGATTGGTCAAGTCTTGTCCTTGGGCAGCAATAAGTTTATGAATCTCTGGTTGTAATTCTTGAGGAAAAGAGGCAACATAAATATTTTTTAGACTAACATCATTATAACTATTGAAAAGATAGAAAATTTCTACCATCCTCTTATGATGTTTTTCTAAATCACTTTTCTTTAAAGAGCAGCCTCTTATCTCAAAATATTCTTGACTGGTCTTCTTATCATAAAGATCTATGTCACCCACAAATTCTTAATGTATAGCTCCAAGAACCTGACGAGTATTTTTCAGTTGATGAAACTGGTCTTGTTTTACATTTCCAAGATTATGGTACCATTCTTTCAGGGTGCTAGTCATTCTGCAACATAATTCTTCAATAACTTTATATGGATCTGCATCTAATTTTATGAATTGAGTGTCTAGCCATGCTCCACAATCAAACAATCTTTTTCTCCAATATTGTGGAGACACATCATCAAGTATGAAATAAGGACCTCCATTGATCTTAGATCCTTTTCTTTCTCTTCTGTTGATTTCTTCCTCTTCTTCAGGTGAATCATAAAAATATCCTCTTTCATTACTAGATTGTGTTGTATTAACCATCAACATTTCAGTGATGTCGGTGAAATTTTCTTCTGAGGATTTTGTTTTTGAAAGTTCTGATTCACTTTGAGAATCTCTAGTTGTTGAAGATTCATAAGATTCTTCATGAGATTCTGCTTTAGTAGTTAAGGATTCATGGGATTCTGTCCCTTTAGATAAACTGGAACTTGAATCATCAACTTGGTCATCTTCTTCAACAATTACACCTATAAAAGGTGTTTTTTCTTGACTTCCCTTGGATGACTTTTTTGGTGGAGATTTCTCATTTTCTGAAGAGTCTAAATCTTTTGTTTTATTGGTTTCTGAGGAAGAAATACTCATCTTTCCTTTCCCTTTTGAGTCTCGTGTGGAAGACCTAGGTTTAGGTCTATATGCAGAGGGTAAAGAATAAGATGGTGTTGTAAAAGTACCTTGATAAAAAGGAGATGGACTGAAAGGAAAGTAATAACTTGATTGTACAGGTGGTGGAACAAAAAAAGGATTCACTTTTGTCTCCCTATTTTGTTGTTTGGCTGCAATAATATCATCTATTTCTTGCAACTGATTTTTCAGTCTCCTAATTTCTCTGTCCTTTCTATGATATTCATATGTAAAAACTGCCTTTTCTTCTGTAAGCTTTGCAATATCAGTCTCTAATTTGACTACTTGCTTTTGAAACTCTTTAATATTTGCGAAGCTTCTCAGATAGATATTGTAATCTCTCATCATTTTTTTGGACAATTCAACTATCTTGTCCATTTTTTTGTCTATCTTTTTCAAAATCTTATTTTGAGCTAAGGAGTTTTCAGTTTGCTAGTTTAAAACTTCCTCAGCTTGAGACAAAGGTTTTAGGCTACTATCAGCCTGAACTTCTAAAGATATTACTAAAGGTCTATAGTTAACCTTAGTAATTGGATCAGTTTTCCTTTCAAGAGAAGAAGAATCTTCTTGAGAAAACATCATGCATGGAATGGGTTGAGGCATTTTTTCTGGATTAAGGAAAAAAGAATTGCAAAGTGATGGAGGAGGAGGCCATGTGATTAGATCAGGATCATTTGGAGGTTCTAACAAAAGTCCTTCTTCCTTAAGGATTCTTAATCCTTCATGATAAATGGGAAAGAGGTTCTTTTTTCTGTCTGATCCCTACCTAAGGAGAATATCCTGGATCTCTCCTTCTTGGTTTAGGAGGAGACTTGCATGACTTCTTCTTTCTGTGGTTATCCTCATCAGAATCTTCCTCTAAGGTATCTCCAGTATGCATCCAACAGTCACAGTTTGGATCACACATAGAAGGATCAACATCCCACATGAAATGTCTATCAAACTTGTCTGAATAGATGGGGGTACCATCAACTTTGAAGCTGTATATAGGGATCCCATCTTCTCCTTCTCCAAGAGTGATCATCATAGATTGAAAAACGTTGGAGGATGAGTTGCTTTTAACATCAGGTTTTTTAAAGACTGTAATGACAGATCCATCTACAAATTTTCTGAAAGTTGCTTCAGTGGATCGTATTGGTTTTCTACTGTGCATGATCTTTTCATAATTAGTCGTCCGTTCTATAGGGATCAATTTAATCAATTCATCCCTAGAGATTTGTCTTGGAATTTAAGTAATGAAAGGGATATCATCTTCATCCCTATTTGCTACTATAAGCATGTTATCATGGGCTCCACTTAGGCTTGGTAAATCATGGGCATGATTCTGCAACCTATATATAATCTGATGGTGGAGAGTTGCAAATAGAGCTTCTTCAACTCCAGACAGTTGGATTTGAACTTTTAGTTTGGTGGGAGGAGTCTTATCTTTCAAGGAAACATTGTAGTTTAGGAAAATTGTGTGAACAACACTCCCAACATGTAGATTGGTTAAAAGGGTGGCAATCAGTGCATGTTCATAACAAATATAAGAGGTGTCTAGTAATGAGATCTTAGCAGAGACATGTAAATTCTTTCTACCATGTAATAATAGAATAAGTCTGACGGCTCCAAAGTGAAAGGATGTGTATCCCTCTTCTCTCCAATGATTTATGAACATTCGGAGAATCTCGAGATTGATAAACTGCTCCTCTGGTGAAGCACTGATTTCACACTGATCCATTCTGGAGGATTAGACATACTCTTTAATGGGTTATTTTTTTTCTGAGAATGAGTCTATTTACTTTATTGGCAAAAGACTTGTGCCTTCTGAAAACATTGTAAGGACTCAATAGAGGGACTACTGATTCCTCTATTTTTGATTCTTTAGGGACATATGTA